ATGAATTGTTTAATAGAATACTAAGCATACCAACAAGACAAATGACTTGTAAATAGTGACAATGATCTAAATCCACTTGAACTATAAGTATTTTATTCTTATCATCATTTTTTATGTTTACGTTTCAATTCGATTCACATCGGCAAGTCGAATAATGACAAACTTATTATCTCAAATCGATCTTTCTTACATGAAAGAATAAGACACATCAAAAATACTTATAACAGGTAAAGTAAAATAAAAAAAAAACACTTGTAGTTTTGATTACTAAAAATGATTTATGTCATCTAAAAATTTTACTTGTTTAATATTTTACAAATAAAAACAATTTCTTTATAAATGAACTTTCAAGAAAACATAAGACTATAAATTTTATCTAAATGTTTTATTCCATTAAAAATTGATATCTCTATTCAGCTGTTAATTCGTTCCATTGCTTGTGTTTTTCTTCTCATGTGTTGTGTCATTTTACTAATGCCGAATTTGTTAATTGTAAAATTTAACTGTTAGATACATTGCTGATATGTCTTTCCATAGTTCACCCTCTTATATATGTCTTAGTTACAATTCATTGCATGTAGTTCATTTTATGGGTCATAATTATCAATGACATCGCAAATATAAAGTATAAGGAATGTCAAATTCGAATCATTTTTTCTCTTGTTCATTTATGCACGATTGAATAGGGTATTAAAAGCTGGTCATGCATATAGAGCTTTTACACTGGATTTACTACTATTTGACTGAATATACCTTGAATGACGAAGAAAGTAGCATGGATGATTATGCATTTATTTTTCTTTAAAATAGAACTCGTCAAAGTTCAGTTACACTTTTGTTTCGTAAAACTTTTTCAAATATTGTCTTCTAATTCAGCATGAAAAACTGAATAGAAAAATGTTATTAAATTAAATATAATATTAGTAGACTTTAAATGAATAGTCTTAAGTAAAGACAGTTTCATCTAAAGTCTGTTAGGTCCATTGGGGACCCACATCCAAAAATTTTGGATCCGATGAATTCTAGTTCCAACATGCTTCCAAGTATCTGTTTCTACGCATCTTTGTAATTATTTTTTGTAACAACAGATAAGAGCAAATGTCTTATGCTATCAGACTCATCCAGTCGCAAATTGAAGAAGCGCGTATTTTTCTTTTGTGTTTAATGAACAGAAGCAGATAAATTTGTTAAAAAATAAAATCTCGTACTTAGCATTTTTGTCATTACGTTTTAACTTCAGAGCAAAAAAGAAGTACCATATTCAGAATCAATACAAAGAACTACAATAGAACATAAATATTTCAAGAAAAATTACTTTTTAAGAAAAAAAAAACACCCAAGAGACTCTAGGTGAAATATGAGAAGAAAGACATTTATTTTTTCTTAAAGAATACTTTTTGTTGAAATATTTATGATCTGACATAGTTCTTTATGTTGATTTCAACTATGGTTTTTGTTTCGTCTTGATATTGAAATATAATAATAAAAACTACTAAGTACAATTTCATTTCTGACAAAATTTATTTTTTTCTGTCACTCAAATCAAGAAAACATAAATCTGAAAAAAAAATATGTACTTTTGTAGTTTGCGGCTGGATGATTCTAATAAAATTGCGACTCTCTTGACTGGAAAGCATTTTTTCTAAAATCTATTAACTCTAAACCTATTTAATAACTTTTTCTTACTTACTCTTCTCATACTGAATTAGAATAAAATGTTTTCAAAAGAATTGGTCAATTCGAAATGAAAACTATATATTCGTGATCAGCTTTTCATGTTCTATTCAGCAATACATAAATAAATATAAAGAAAAATCTATTCAAATTCATATTAATAGATAAACATTCTATTTCGAACGTTTGATAATAAAGCATCACCATTCAGCACCACAGATGTAAGTGTAGAAAAATATTTTCTCAACGAAAAGTACAGAAAATGATGTATGTAATCTCTATTCCATGATGATAAAGTTTAAATAAAGTATATTTACTCATGCAAACTCTCGTTTAGATTTTGTTTGATCTTGTATGACGAATCAAGAATGAATTTTGTAGTTCTGATTTAGTCAGTATTTTCACATTGTAGCGGTGAATTTCATAGGCCACTTTCAATATCTATATTACCGTTAGTTTCTAAAATTGAACTATCAAGAGAAAATATGTCGTCTAAACTTGAAATACATTATTTTATTTCAATTCATTGTATGAAAATGCAATGATATCGTACTCTGAGGATTATTGATCGCAACAAATGATGTTATTTATGGATATCATCAAAAATATTCATCTTATACAAACAACCACTAATGAGACGAATGCATTTTGTGAAAACTTAATGATATATATGTAATTGATTGTGCATATTATTGAATAAAATGAAAGAAAATAGAATTTTAAGATTTTATTCGTCATAAAAATTACTTCAATATGTGATGATATTTAAAATATAATGGTAAAGAATCTAATATAACGAAATAAATAATTGAAAAATCAACCAAATTGTTTCAATTGAAAGTATCAGTTGATGAGTCAAATGAAAGCGTGAAGTATTTTCAAAGATTAGTGAAAAATAAGCGTAATTAAAAGACTGTCTGCTACTATAACTATTAGAATATAGAATAATGCTATTTTTGTTCATATATCGTGTGTTCATAGAAGTGCAAGAATGAATATGTAGAAAAAAATACATTTATGAACGTTGCTGCATGTTTTTCTTGGAACATCAGGATATATACTAAATTATAACAAGACACAATAATATAATATATCATTCATTTGTTCATCCAACAATTGATTAGTATTTATATTGTATCTATTTTTTTTTTACTTTAGTTCCCATTTATCTTATGCAAACATGTAGAAATCAATAATTATAGTGGCTAACTGACAAAGGAAACGAACATATTATTAATAAACAAGAAGTTACTTTACACAATATTTTTGAAATTTATTTGTATAAATTAATTACAAATAAGTAACTTCTAGAAGATACTATATACGCAATTATTCTTTGGAGCGAAATTTTGTGAAAGAAAAAATGTTTTTTTTATAAGAAACCCGTCTTTTCAATTGTATTAGGTTGAGCAAAAAGTTCCCGGTCACTTGCAAATATAAAAAATGTTTGCAAGTGACCGGGAACTTTTTGCTCAACCTAATGTATCATGTTGTAGAGCTTTTCGAGACGCATCGAACGGTATATAGTAAATCCTGTTTTCATAGAATTTGAAGGACCTAGAGTCAATTTACTGATAGACAACTACACATTCACACCCATTCATACTCACATCCACATTCACAAGATGACCGGAGATGGTACGTATATGAGGTTGTAGTCCGTCAAAAACTCTACAAAATCACATGCGAGAAATACTATTTTACAAATGCTTTCAACTAATAACAAGAACCACAATAATCATTAACTTATCGTCCTTGGGTATGGGTGCGGATATGGATGGGTGTGAATGTATAGTTGTCTATCAGTAAATTGACTCTAGGTCCTTCAAAGTTCTATGAAAACAGGATTTACTATTTACCGTTCGATGCGCCTCGAAAAGCTCTACAACATGTAGCGCTTTTTGTGTAACAAGATCCTTTGATAATCTGTCAAGCAGACTGAAGAAACTCTTCGTACGCCAACTTCAAGTCGTAGTAATTTTTCTTTATTTTAATCGAATATGTTTTCAATTGAATTATAACAAAATACGTGGTGGATATACATTTATCTATTAACGTTCAAACCGATGATACCAATGAACTCGAGAGAAATCTATAACGATAATCATTTTTTTTTTCATTCTTCATACATCTTAAGGTTAAAATCAGCTTGTGGTGTTAATATATCAATAATTACCATATATTCTTTATTCCCTTATCAGCTTTAACATTACATTCCTAACTACAAAGCAGATTTCTTTGTATCTTACAATGGAATCTCGTGTACTGATATGCAAGAAGATTGACCATGAATAACTCGGTATACGCAAGCCATGAGCAGATTATCAATTTAAAGGAAACTCTCGGATAAAGTTGTAAATCTGCTATGCCTGTAGATTTCATACTCAATAGCATAGACAGATAGAGCGCATTAAGTTCTGTACATTTCTATATACTTATTTTGCTTTTTTGTTGGATGTAAAAAATTAATTTTCGAGGACTAAGTAATCTCAGAAGTCTATTACTTTTGGATTTTTCAAATAATAACTATGCTACCGATAATTTTTTCTGTTATAAACTCAATATGAAAAATAAAAAATTATATATCGACGCATTTTTTCATCTTCTACAAAGTACGATAGTAATAATATTTACTGTTCGCTCTTCTTTTAAATTATGTAGAGTGAAATGAATATGATATCATATTCATTGTACTCTGCATAATTTAAAAGAGAAGCTAATGATAAGCATTATTATTATGTCACTTTGTAGAACATGGAAAACTGCGCCGATCTATGTTTTTATTTTTTGTATTGAGTTTAGAAAAGGAAAAATTATCGGTACCATAGTTATTATTCAAAAAATCCAAAATTAATAGACTTCTAAGATTACTTAGTCCTGAAAAATTTTGAAATTGAAATCTACGTAGATGGCAGATTTACGATCTTAGCCGACGACGTTCTTTGTTAGTTTGGCAATGAGAGTGTTAATGTGACCCGAACAGGGTCGATGTTCTTGCGAACTTATACAAAAATTTTTACTTTAAGACCCAAAGAAAATCTCTCCAAAATACTTCGAGTAAATGATTTAAAATAATTGTCAGAAATTATACAATAGATCACTGAGTAATTACTAAGGTGAATATAAATTTGTATGCATGAATACATTATTATCATAGTAGAAAATAACGAAGGTATAAAAAACATGAAAGTGTCAGTTCCAAACATTTTCTAGCCAATAAGTATCATTTCTTTTTTCTAAAATAAATATTAATTAGAACAACATCTATTATAGTTATATAGAAATTAAAAAAAAGATATTCTTGAATTGACGTTGATCGATTTAGAATGTCCATTCCAGCTGATGATTTGGCTTTTATACTTTACATAAACAATATTTCAATACAAATCAATTGTTATGTTCCAATCTTTCTTCTTCTATTTGGTATAATTGGTCATTTAACTAGTTGTCTTGTATTTGTTCAACGAACACTTCGTTCAAATCCATGTTCAATTTATTTTCTTGCTGCCAGTCTGTCAAATTTAATTTTCCTTATAACATTATTAGGACCTATGCTTAATCTATGGAATAAGTCGTTGAATTTGCTCATTACTGTGTCTGTACTATGTAAACTATCTATGTTTATTGTTCTGGTGACACGAACATTAGCTTTATGGTTCATTGTTCTGGCTACCATTGATCGTTATTTAATCTTATGTTCTAGTATTAATCAACGTCAAATGAAAAATTTGAAACAAGCTTATCGTTTGATTTTGATCATTGCTATAGTATCAATATTCATATGGATAGAAACTATTTATTGTTTTGATGCTAATCTTACAGGAATTTCCATCAAATGTTTTGTTAATTCTAATGTATGTCTTATATATAATAATATCATACTTGCATTGATTAGTATAACAATTCCATCAATAATGATGCTCATTTTCGATCTTCTCACTATTGTTAATATTCGTCAGTCTCGACAAATAATACATCCAAGTATAAATACAATTACTGTTTCGAATAGAAGAAATAGAAAAATTGATTGGATTCTCACTCGAATGCTATTAACACAAGCTTTTCTTATTTTTCTTTTCAATCTTCCACAAGCAATACATATATTTTATTTAACAATTACATTTTATCAACCGAAAACTTCTGTTCAAGGAACAATAGCTGGTTTTATTTATTATATATTACTTCTTCTTCCTTTTCTTTCTAGTTGTATTTCTTTTTTGTTGTATCTCTTAAATGAAAAGATGTTTCGTGAAACACTCATTAAACTTGGTAAAAAAATTATTGAACGTTTAAAATGTAATAATTAATTATTATATTGGAAAAATCAAATCCATTTCATTAAATGTTAATACTTATAACAATAAAAGACATCTAAATAATATGTTCAAATTTTTTTTATTTTATTTATAGAATTCAATAAAAATAATAGAACTAGTAAAATATTTAATATTGAAAATAATACACTACGATCATGAATTACGATTATTGAAATGTTCCTTTTTTTTTTCTCAAAACTTATGTATTGTCGAACAAAAACGATGCATCATCAGTGACAACAGGAAAGATGCATCGCACATGTAAAACTTTCTCTTTTTATTGAATGAAAAATTTGAAAATAAGTAAAACTTTTAACTATCTATTTGGTTTACCGCTATTAATTAATTTTTTATTTCATTTTTTCAAATTATAATGAATAGACCAAAGAAAAGTCATGATCGTTGGATTTGTTTTTCAATATTCATATGACTATGGCAATGGGTTCTTCCATTATTCTTTATCATATATAAAATTCTAATTATCTTTTGTAAACATACATAATTTTACTAACATAAAAAATTAGATTGAGTTATATTCTTTAAAAGATTGTTTATTTACTTATATTAATAATCACCGAACCATATATATATATTGATCTTTTGCAAATTTATCTTTGAATTACAAGAATCAATATTTATGTTAGCAATATTTCTTCGCTTGACAGTTTATATTTAGAGATGTGCAGTGTTGGTATAAATATTCAAACATTGAACAATAATGAATCATGGATATAAGGTCGATATTGAAAATCTGATTACATTGGTACCCGTATTCAATGAAGTACTGAATGCATTGATATCTACGTTTTCTAAAACATAGGGATATAAACTCTATGAAAATATACACTTTTTCTACCGATGCGTTCCAATGCTTCAGTGAATATTGGTACCAATGTGATAATCTGCACTAACTACACTTAGTCAGTGATCAGTATACTGAACGTCTACATCGTTATTAATATTACTTAATAAGTGATAGTTTCTGGTTTGATATAGTATAGGTTCAAATTTATACTCAAAGTTAAGAAATTATTTATCACTGATAACACGTGAATCGCTCAAGTGTTTTTAATAATTGATATATAATTTTTCAGTGGTACATCAATTATTTATTATGTGTCTTGGAAATTAGAAACAGCAGAAGTGCTGCTATTCAGTCATCAAACTATTCTGCATATGTTAACAATATGTAGAAATTTTTCTTCATGGATAATTAAATACACGATACAGAGAAAAACTTAATAATTCCTTTTTGACAAAAATATTTCTATATGATACATAAAACATTGACTATTTCAATATAGTCTATCAAAAAATTGATAGTTCGCGATATTTAATAATGTTTTTTTATATAGCCGATATACAGAAGAAGAAATGATGCATTATGTTTTAATTATTATTTTATTTTAAAATAGTTTCTCTTCTTATTGTCAGTGCACATCAATTTTTTTAATTCCATTCATCAATAATAAAAGATTTTTCCGGGTTATACAAAATGATGATCGAGACGATATAATGTCTTTTGTTATATTAGACTCAATTACATCATTCAAATCACTAACAGTTATTCGTCTTGGATCATCCATTCGATAGCATGCTGACTACATTGTGACATACACCCATTTATGTGATTAGTGAGTGTTTATGGAATGGTCAAGTAGTCTGCATCATATCGGCCTTCTGTCCAGAGTTACAGTTAGTCATAGTTGTAGGGAAAATATCGGACGATTGAATCTATCGCTAAGCAGCATCCCATACTGCAAGGTATCCGTAGGACAGCGGTATTCTGGTTTCTTCTCTTACATCATTCTGTATGGTAAATGTAAGAATACGGAAAAACAAAATACCATTGTTACATTTTCCTAGTATAGTAAATATCTTTTGAAAAGTATTTCTCATTAGTCAATAATGTTTTCATATGATTACAACGAACAAGAATCTTTTTTTTACTTTTTTAAATAATACAAATCATTGAAAAGAATCCAAGAAAATTATTTTGTACTGAAAAACATTTTTCTAAAGTCATCATTGCTCATTGTACTTGTCGTCGTTGGTGTTGATTGACTCATCGGTGTTGTAGTTGTTGTTGTTGTTGTTGTTGCAACTCTCCTTGGTACTAATAAAATTTGAGAATGTCCTCTACCTCTTGGTCCAGTTGATTTCGGAGCTTCACCTAATGATGTTGGTTTTGGTATAGTTGATGTAACTGTTGATGCTGATTTCGTTGGTTCTTTACGTTGTGGTGGATTGCTAATAGCAACTTTAATTGTATGTCCATCGATTTCTGTTCCATCAAATGTAAGTATTGCTTGTGAAGCTTCTTGTGCATCATCAAATTCAGCATAAGCAAGTCCTTTAGATTTTCCACTTTTAAGTGTTACTAATCGAACATCTTTAACTTTAAGTCCTTTTTCTATAAATAAATTTTGAATTTGTTCTTTAGTTGTTGAAAATGATAAATTTGATATAAATAATTTATTTTGCTCTAAATTTGTTGCATATTTAAATTTTTTTGTTAAATCATTTGATGCAGATTTATTTGGATCATAAGCACTAACATACATTGGTCGACCATTTATTTGTGTATGATCTAATTTTAATGCTTGACGAGAACCTTCACTTGTAACAAAATCAACATAACCAAAACCTTTTGATTTACCAGACCATTCATGTTTAACAATACGTATTTCTTTTATTTCACCAGCTGATGAAAGTGCTTGACGTATTACATCTTCATCAACATCATAAGCCAAATTAGCGACAAATACAGTATTTAAATGATCAATATCTTTTGTAGTAGTGACCATAGAAGAGGAAGTTGAAGTTGAAGTTGAAGTTGAAGATGAGGCAAGAGAAGTAGGTGGTGGTGGGGGTGGTATTTTAAAACCTTCACTATCTATTGTCGGAGCTTGAGGTTTCTTTTTAACAGTCTGTGCTTCTTCTGGTGATAATTTTCGCTTACGAGGTGATTGTTGTTGTTGTTGAGTAGTAGTCTTACCATTGCTTTGAACTGATGGAGCAGCTAAAACAAAGATGATTATAGAATTGTTATTTGAAAGAGAAATGAGACTATTTGAAGATATCTAGTTTGTCGAAGACATTATTTTAAAATAATAATTATAACATTTATTTGAGGTATTTTTAATGCTGAAATATTAATTTTTGATTATCGATTGTACTATTCCAATCAATGGCGACATACGAAAAAGAAAGTTCAGATTTTTTATTTTTGTTTTATAGAAATAATTGACAAACTATTTAATTCGAAGACAATTTTGATTTCTTTCAAACACTGTATGTATATCATCTTACACATCTAAATTTCTTTATTGAACGTCAAATAAAAATCTACTATCGATTTCAAAATAGAATGTATTCCACTAAGACCTGTGGTTTTCACCATTCAAGAGAGAAAACTCAAGCCCATCAAAATTTCATTGGTCATCAATAGACCAATCAAGTGAGTTCTTAGTAGGAACTTTCGAAAACGATATTTCGAAGCTGTTTTCTTTCAATTTGTACTTACAATGAAAACAACCGATACAAAAAATTCTTCTTTTTCGATCTAGGCAAGACCAACATTTTTAGCTTGTTTCATTCGAGCGTTATAAAACTTTTCCTAAGATCTTCGATTCCAGTTAATCGACTTGTGATAATCGCCCGAAGAAGCATCTAGACAGAAGTAATTCACTATGCTGAGTCGAATGATGATGATCTGACTGTTTTATCTCAATATTTCTGAGATTTCACAATCAGGCTAAATAGAACGAAGGAGTTGACATCTCGGAAATATTGAAATAATAGAGTCAGACCGATTCGAGCCTAAACACAAATATCGCTATTCTACTCAGCATAGTGAATAACCTCTGCCTAGCTGCTTTTCCGGATAATCGTAGGTCAATTGACTGGAATCGAAGGTCTTAAGAAAAGTCTTATAACTGTCGAACGAAATGAACGAGAAATGTTGATCATGTGTAGATTGAAAGAAAAGAATTTTTCTATTGATTAGCTGTTTCAAAAGTCTAAATCGAGAAGAAAACAGCTTCAGAATATCGTTTTTCAAAAATCTCCACCAAGAACTCATTTGATTAATCTATGGCTGATCACCCAAATTTAGATGTCGCCATCTTCTCTCTTAAATGGTGAAAACCGCAGATCTCTATGATGTTCCTATCAAAAGATATTCTAAAAACAGCGAAGTACATAATATATATTTAAAAATGGTTAGTAGATTGAAAATGATTTTTAAGAATAGTTTGTCTATTCTTACTTGTATCCATTTTATTATTGGAAACTTTGGTTGATTTTTCTTTGGTTTCTTTTTTTTTTCCTTTATTGATTTGTTTTTTATTATCTTTATTGGATTGTTGCTGTTGTTGTTGTTGTTGTTGTCGTTGTTGTCGTTTAGGTTTTTCCTTTGGAATAATTTTATTTTTAATTTGTCTTAATTTATCCTTAGTTTCTTTTAATTGTTGTATAGTTCCATATTTTTTTTCATGTTCTAATAAAATATCACATATAGTTAATGGATAATCCATTGTTTGTATATGATTTAATGCACGATATAAAACTTTTCTTGCATGTTTTTCATCTCCATGATTAATTTCTGTATAATAATAATTTTTCCATAAATTTGATATCATTTGATTATGTGTTTTATTCATTAATGTTCGCCCATTCCATATTTGTCTAGCATGTTCAATTGAATGAAATGATTTTACTTCTAAATGAATCCAAAATAATTCAAGTTGTCCATTATATTTTAAAAATAAATTTGAATCATTTGATGATAAAAATAATTCTTGATATTGATCACATGCATATTCACATATATGACGAATCTCTTCTTTTAATAATTCACATTGTTCTTCATTATTTGATAATAATTCTTGATGATAATGACGACGACGATATTGACAATAAGCTAATTGTATATCAACAAATGAAACAAGATTTGTTGGATCGGAATTAAGTGCACGATCATAAATTTTTTTTAACTGAGAATGATCAATATTTGCAGTTAATTCCATATATTCAGCATAACGAATCCATAATGTTGCTACCCATGGACAATTTCGTAATGAACGTTCAAATATTGTTTGTAGAACAGTTGCAGATGATAAATATTTTTCAGTAAAATCAATATATGAAAGCCATAAATCACCGTCAAGACAATTGTCAACTAAAACAAAAACAACAATAAAAAAAAACACAGTTTATTCAAGAGAATAGCATTGAAATTCTATATAAAAATTTGATTTAATTGTATGTTCTATCCAGCTGCTTTTTCGGATAATCGCAGGTCAATTGACTGGAATCAGAGATCTCAAGAAAAGTCTTATAACTTGCGAATAGAACAAGCGAAAAATATTAATCTTATGTAAATCGAAAGAAAAAAACTTTTTCTATTGATTAGTCCTATTGAAAGTCTATAAACTGACAGGAACGTAGTTTCAAAGTATCGTTTTCGAATATCTTTATCAAGAACTCATCTGATTAGTCCATTACTGCCTAATCGAATTTCGGTACACTTCGATGAACACAACACGAGTCTTTTCTTTTAAATAGTGAAAACTTCATATCTCTATGATGTTTCTATGAAAAGTTATTTTAAAAACAGTGCAAAAAATTGTATTTCGAAATGGATATTATATTTACACTACTTATCAATACGACTATCATGATTAAAATTTTCTCTTTTTTTTCTTTATTCCATTCTACTTTTATTAAAAGACGTGACTAAATAAATTAATCTCCAGTCGAAATCTAATTTTGTTTGATCAAAACTAGAATTAAAATTTTGTCTCTAACATATTTATATATTAATTAAAAATTCATACCAATAGCTCGTTCGTATAAACATTGAATACGTGCTGGTTCTTTTTCAAATTCAATATATTTTCTATAACTTGCGACACTTCTTTTAGTATCATCTAATTCTTGTTCAAATTTTTCACGTTCTTCTAATTGTTGAACAGCATGATCAAATTCCTTTTTTAATACTAAATCATATTTTTCAATATAATTTGTTGGTAAATATTCTTTATATTGTTGACAAAATTCATTATAATCTTTAAAATAAACAGTATTCATTTCACGTAATGGTATTGATAATTGTCGACGATATAATGTTAAAATATAATCAACATGTTGAAGAATTTTTTCTTTTAAATCATTATTTGTATTATTTTGATTATAGTTTAATAAAATACCATCTAATATAGCCTTTTCTGTTTCAATATAAGCAGCCCATAAAAGACTACCTTCAGTTAAATGAACACCACATGAACTAAGACCACGTTCAAATAAATTTCGAAGTTCTTCAATAGAATTTAATGATACATAATATGGTATACGATATTGAACATATTCAATCCATATCATTACAGATAAATAATCATTAATAGCACGTTCAAATAATTGAATAAGTTCTTTATTTTCTTCTGAATTTGATACTAATAATCGAATTTCATCTTTAATCCAATTAAGCCAAAGTTGTTGAGTTAATGGAAATATTTCAGACATTGTTTGACGAGCAAAACGTAAATGTTCAAGATTACCATATTGACGAGATAAATTTATATAATCAATATGTGCTTGGTAATTATATAAATTTGATTGAACTATATCACGATGTGCAACTAATTCAGTTTCTTGTTTACTATCATCAATTTGTTCATCAGGTGAATCCTCGGATTTACTATCATCATCATCATCATCATCATCATCATCACTTTTACTTTCATCATCAGTATCATCTTCAATATCTTGTTTACTTATTTCCATTTCTTCATCATCAGATGCCATCTTTTAAAATATCTGAAGTGAAAATTAATAAATTTATACATTCATATATCTTTTATAGTTAAATCAAATAAGGAAAATTTCTTTTTTTTTTAGAAGTCTGTCTAACGATATATGTCACTAAAAGTGTCTTGTTCAATCATTGTCTACTCGAATTCGATTATAGATACTTGGAAAGGTTTTTCTTAAAGATACATGTTTTTTTTTTGTTTCATTTCTGAGATTTTCTTGACAAGTTAAAGGGTTTTAATTAGTATGTTACAGTGTTTCTTTTTCAAATTAAAAGAAAAATCGGTGAGATTGTCAAATATCTCTAATATCACCTTGACATTTTCTTTTGGTTAAATTATGAAAATTGTCAAAATGATCAGAACAAAATTAGATAGAATTTTAGAATTCTCATAAATTGAACGATTTCTTTACAATAAACAATCTGTGAGACTCTATACTCTAAGCAGTGTGTTATTTAGATTTTCTTAAAACTTCGGGGAGCCAATGTGATCTTCTGAAGAGCGCCGTCTTGTCAGCTGAGAAGAAATCGATCTGGTGAGAAAATCTATTCCATTGATAATCTCTATTTGAACCTTTGTTTTTACTTATTGGTACGACTGATAGTGTAAATAATAATTCTGTGAAAATATTCGTGTCATTGGGTCTTTTTTCTCGAGTTATGCTCGTTTCAGTCTATTGCAGGATATCACGACAAAAATCATAACAAGTAGCTTCGGTCTGAAATCTTCCCCAAGATTAACTTTCATGGTCTTTATGATATCCTGAAAATTTCATCTCAAATGAATAGTTTCTTCTTAAAACATTCTGTGCTTAAAAAGCGCGCTGCGTTCAAAGCTCGTATGTGACATTTTTTACAAACATGTTATTTCATAAGGACAATATTCGTTTGAGCTGAAACTTTCAAGATATCATAAAGATCATGAGAACCTATTTTTAGAGAGAGAGTTTCAGGTCGAAACTTTTTGTTACGATTTTTCTCGTGATATCCTGCGATAGACTGAAAGTTCAGTAGAATGACTATAAGTCGAGAAGAAGGGCCTAATGATACAAACCGTTTTAGGTTTTTCATTTACACTATGAGTTCTACCTTTGAACGAAAACTTAGTACAAACGAAGATTATTAATCAGATGAGTTCTCTCGTGAGTAGACCAGACTGAACAGAATCAGCCAGTAATCGGTATCGGTTCGATGTCTGTTCTACACTCGATAAAACACTGACTCTATATGCGATCAAAATATCATCTCAGTTGGTTTTACTGTTATTAAGTATCGAAGATGATCTAAGACATATGTTTGTGAAAGTTTTCGAAAGAAACTAAGGTAAATACTAAAAAATCTTGAGTTCCTTAAATAATTTCAATATTCTCCAATAAAAAACATTCTTATTGCAAATCCTATTAATTTCTTTTGTTAACTCATTCGACCTTTCAGATATTCAATTTCTGATTAAAAGAAAAACTATTGATTTTAAACATTTTTTATTTTATTGCTGAAATTATTAAGTCAAAACAAAAAAAAAAGAAAAACATATCTGACAAATGTCTATAATTAATAGAGAGAGTGATTGATATAATACATGAAAAGAAAAAAAAATATATATATAAATGTTCAAGTTCTCTTAGATATAGAATACGAAACGTGTGGGTAACTACATGCACACCGAGCAGAAAGCACTGAGAATAAAAACAAAATTGAATAATGAAAGACTCTCTCTCTATATATATAAATTTATTTCATAAGTGGATCAAATTCTTTTGTTACTGTTCGAAGTGGACTTTGAGTAAAAGCTGAATTTGTAAACGATGATGAAGCATTTTTTTTCTTTTTTTGATAAATATAATGTTCATTTTTATTTGATTCTTGAGATTTTTTTTTATTTGAAATTTTAATTGAAGCTGATGATGAAAGAGATGATGATGATAATGATGGAGATGTTGAGTCATATGCAGATATATGTTTTTGACTATTTGAATTATCATTAGTTGTTGTTAAATCATCAGTTATTGAAAATGTTTTTGCTGAATTATTTATTTGTTGATCATGAATATGTTGTGAAAATGGATCAGATATACTTTCAGATGATATTTCTTTTCCTTTACCAGAATCTGGTGAATCACTTGATAAACATTGTTGATTAGATGAATTTGATGCTGTTAATGTTGAAAATAATGATGGTAATAGAAGTAAATCAGTTGGACGCGGTGGTAACATTTTTATTAAATCATTATTATGATTCGTTAATTTCATTTCAAGTTCATTTGTATAAAGTAACAATTGTTGAATATGTGTTAATAATTCTCGATTTCGTTGAAGTAATTGAGCATTTTTATTCTTAATAAAAGGATTTTTGAATAAAATTTAAAATAGAAATTTTTTTTAATGACTTACTTGTGAATCAACACGAGCGGCTGTTTCAATATTCAATTGTTCTTTGATTAATTTAATTTGATTAAATGCTAATTCAGATTCATTTTGCATTTGTTGAATTTGTTCCTGCATAAATTGCATTTGATGTTTAAGTGTAAATTCACTTGATGAATGAGGTTGAAATAAATTTACTGATTTTGTTTCAATAGTTGTTGGAGACTTTAAAAACAAAGAAAAAAAATTCATTAGATATCTTTGTTTTTATTTAAGAATTTACTGTAGATGTTTGAACACTTTCTAAATAACGTTCTGCTTTTTCTATTGGATCCATATTTGGTGCAAGTGTCTCACGGTTTATTTGTTTACCTTAATAAATAGAAAATTAAATTTAGAATTCAAAATACAGAAACAAAAATTATTATACTAGTTGATTCATTTTCTGATGAACTAGAATTGATTTTAATTGGACTAGAAATTTGATTAGTAGTATTGTTATTATTTGATTGTTCTGTTGGTGATGATGACGATGCTTGTTGTCGTTGTTGTAATGCTATTTTATGACAAACTTCAAATGCTTGTCCAATTGTACGTACAATACGCATGGCTTCATTCTAACAAAAAATATATTTATTTTCTTTTAATGTCATCGACTGCGAAATTTTAAAAAACGATTCATTTTATAGCTTATACTAGATATAAATGGGGGCCCTGCTTTGTTTTATTCTTAGTCTAAATAAAAACATGAGATTTTATATGCATAGAGATGAAAATACGATTTGATCATAATCTAGAAGTTGGAAATGTCTGGCTACTATACTTAGACTAATTTAGTTGCCAATATCATTCCTGTTAGATGTACAATTAGAAATAAATAAAGTCTGTAGTCTCAATTTTGGTCTCGGCTTAGCTACGTACTGGTTGACACCAGTTTTCCCATATCTAATTCATACATATTTCAGTCAGGAATCTAACAAAAGATATATAGGAATAATACTTTTGATACTGAAAAATAAAAAGAAAGTAGATTTTATAAATTGAAATTGATTTCAACTCCAGCATAGTTCAACTATAGACTAATCAATCACTCTTCATCAGAAATAATCTCTAATATAATTAATTATAGATTATGTAAATGTATTCTTGCTTCTGTAGAATACGAAATACACAATCCCCACGACCTTAGACTTTAATATTTCAATGCATATTGATCAAATTCATCTAATCGATTTTTCATAAAAATTTACGATATATAAAACAAAAATAACATGAAATTGATCAAAATATTTGAAAAGAACCTATAGAGGGACGCGGATTCCTCCAAAATCGACTCGGTGTTGATATAAATATATTTCTCTTACATTTAATCTTTCATCATCATAATCGTCACTAAGATCATTCGATTTCATCAACATCTTGTCTTCTAGTAAAATGAGAATTATACTAGTAGAACTCTGTTCTTTTTTTATCTTCTGAGGGAATAATCTTATTTTCGGATAAGGAAAATACAACGAAGGCGTGAAGCGAACACAAAAAAAGATAAAATTATCTTCCAATATTTCATCGCACACATTAATATTCATAGAATATAATCTTATCAGACATTTACCTTCTTATATGCTTTAAATACATTACAACGAAATGAATTATTGACATTATCACGTGCAATAAAACTGAAAATTTTCAAATCTTGACTATCATGTGATACATAAAATACTCTAGAATGTAATATACAATAGTTTTTCTTATTTTTATATTGTTTTTTTTATTTTGATACCTATAGATAGGATGTTGCATAATAAAAGATTTATTTTCATCAGCATGTACATCTTTCTAAAAGAAAAACATTGTTAGAAAAAAAAAATTTTTTTCGTCAAAAATAAATTTTTCTACGTACTTTTTTCTTTGTCAATAGACAAACTTTAATACCATCGACAGATATTAATAAATTAACTTTACGTTTTTTTACAGCTTTTGCTTTGAATTCATACTAAATATTTAGCAAAAATATTATAATAGATTTCAATGATTAGCTTTGTTTTGTCTTACACGAATACGACGCATGGCAGTAACAATTTCTATTCTGCTTGCTGGTTTAGGTACTTCGACAGAACCAATGAACTAAATAGAAAAATAAAAATAAATTGAAATTTTTCATATTTTTTTGTTTTATTTTACTTTTGCGTCATATTGTATTCCATGTTGAAATGCCTCATCATTATGTAATGGAATTTTACTGTCATATCCATCGTCAGACATCGGATCGTAATCACGATTTTTAGCCGACATGAGAAGTGATCTAAAGACATATATGGAAACATATTTGGCAATGAACAAAGAAAATTTAATTTAGTCGTTCATTGAATTTTTATCGGACAATAATTTCAACGAATTATTTTCATCTGGAATATTCTTCTTGTTAATGAAAATTCATGAGAAAATTACATTTTTATTTAAATGAATATAGGAAAATTCGATTCAAAGAATAATTATAAATTTGTAATAGATGTCACTAAAGTGTAATCAATATGTCTTCATCTATTTTCTAGATAAATGCGATGAAGGTTTTCTTTACGAGTATGTTACAGGAATGACAGTCTAATTTTATATTTTCAATCTTTAAATATATCTTTCGTAATAATTGTAGTTGACAGAAAAAATACTGTTTCGTTCACATTATTAATATGTCTTAACTAATGTTGACATTACAAGGCAAATATGTTATATGGAATATTCGTAGTTTTAAGTCTTAAATCACTTTATCAATCGCAATTGGTTAGAAAAAGAGAAACTAAAAGCAGATACTAACTCCTGATATTGAATCACTCATATAGATAAACACATTTAATTATTATTACAGAAACAAAATATGCCCCTGAATAAAGTTTCTTGTTATTCTTAATTTTCTTTCTTTCTTTCTTTTTCAAGATGAAGTGCTACGTTTCTCTTGACATCTGTCCCACTTGTCATTTTTTCTTTCTAAATGAATATGACTGGACTTGCGTGATACCATTGCATAGATACAAAGTGTTACATCGTACATATACATTTATAGATATTTACTGTGATGTAGACATGTCATTTGCTCATTACTACCAACATACATATATAAATATACAAAGACGAGTCCTCTCTACTCGATAATGATGACGGTATCATATTATCATATACATTTTCCTTCGCTCAGTGTACAAGTAGTTTTACTCTAATATCAACATGAAATATCATAGACCATTTATCAAATACAGTGTATATAGATAAACATATAGATGTATTAGAAAATTAAAGAGTGAGCTTTTTTGTTTACAATAAACAAATCCATATGAAGATTAATCTTAAGGTTTTTATTTTTTTTTTTGCTTATCTGACAAGGAGAACACAAAAAGTAATGTCTCATCTGTTTGTTTTACATATGTCTCACTATATGTATGAGTATGAGCGGAGCTCTTTATTTTTACACATAGACAACGAGTATATGTAGTAATAATTATGGGTTGATTTCGTCAACATTTTGTTAATATACCATATTACTGTTTGATTCAATCGTTAATGAAAAGATTTCAATCTATACTTTATGAATACAGATGTCTTTTTCTTATGAATTAAGTAAAAAAAAACACGTCTGTCAAGATATATAAGAAGCCGTCTCATCTATCAATTGTAGGCATAGATAATGATTGGTTTACGTGATTGTTGAAGTAAGAGAGCTCAAATACATATCTATAGTTATATATCTATCAGTCTGTCACCTTCAAAGGCAAGGAGATAGATGCTTATGAGGACAATCATGACACTATTTTTTTCTTGTCTTACGCTTATATGAATATGTATAGATATACATATCAATCGACAAAAAGTATCTGCCTTTCAATAGGCATGTCAACGACATGAATACTTTACACTTATAGAAGACAATAAAAAAGAATACTTGAAGACATGATGCATGAATAATGCCAATCTTTCTCATTTTAGAAGGATTATTGAAAGAAAAAAGAACGATTTTCTTTTTATTCTTTTTTTTTTGAAGATGTTGCATCATATTCTCATTTGTGATAATCCGATTACTAGTATCAAACTCTCATCGTCGGCTATAGTTTAGAATAAGAATAAGAATAAGAATAGTCAATTAGATATATGTTACGTCATTTCCGTTTGCAAGAGCGGTAATTTCCGCTTCGATACTTAGATCAGATCAATTGAAAGAAAATGACAAGTTTGATTAGGTGAAATAGAGAAAAAAAAATGACAAATTCAAATCAACATGTATTTGAAGGTTAAATCTAGAATTCTTTCAATCCTACTTTGTATGCAAACTAAGATTTATCGATATTCGATTATCGTACTTAAAAAATTATACAATAAGACTAATTTGTTAAAAGAGAATAGAAACACATTGCGACCTAAAATCTATCAGTAGAATTTGTTTGTGAAGAAGCACTTAGCTCTTCTATTCATTCAATCATGCAGCCTATAAAAAGATAATTTGTATAAAGGAACTATTCAAAACTTACTTGAACATAGCCATTTTTTCTTTTTGATTTGGGTATCAACTGAGATTATTCTGGATTAGTTTGGTTGTTGGTTGAAGAGAAGAAATTGTGTGTACAAATATAAGTTGAATATGAATATGAATTGTATTAAATTATTAGATAAATTAATATGAGTAACGACAATGATGAATATGTGTACTAATCGATGCAATGATCATATTATATCAATGTATCTATTAATACATACAGAGTATTTCTATTGATTAAATATTTTTTGTTGTAGAAAGAAAGCGAGAAAAAAAAAAGAAAGGAAAAAATAAATCTATGTGGTTCATCATTGATACATAAAATTCTTTTTTTACCCCTCTGTCTGAATCTTAATCAAGCGGAAAAAGAGAAAAATGAGAACGAGAAAAAAAAAAAATGAATATAGAGAAGAAAAACTAGACATGTATATTCTCGTTCATCTATGTTAATCTTCTCACAATTCAAGATTTGATACACATGCATACACTAAGACTTGTTCTTCTATTTTTTTTTCTCTTACAATATAACTGGCAACAACATCATCGAAGAAAATGCTAAAGATAAAATTACATATAGATAATTGATTTTGTCCAAAAAGAAGATGACGATAACAAGAAAAGAAAGACCTCACTATTTTTCTTGGCTCGTCTACTATTGTCATTTTTGTTCTTTTGTATAGTTCTCACATACACAAGGCGATGAATGATATAAATTATAGAAAGAGCGAGAACTAGTGAGCAAGGAGATGAGCAATAACGGCTGTATATGTGCGTGTGTGTGATAGAGTAATCGATCATTACACGCCACTAGCGGGGGCACACTGATCAAATCGTCATTGCTATGTCTCCTGTGTTTTACATGAGAGAATAAGAAAAGAAAAAGAACTAAAAAAAAAAAGAAAGAAAATGAGAAGTTTTTTCTATAAACCTGGATATTACGGCTGCAAGAAACAAGGAATCAGCATATCACGTAAATTAACATAAAACTTTGATGTATAAAGGAAACAAAAGAACAATTTCTTCCGAGAGCTCAATGGTTTTATGATAACAATACGCCATTAATATCTTTCATTGCTCGCATAATTTGTTGGTCATGGTCACTTGACATGCAAGAATCTTTATTCAGTCAATTGACCATGTCTTTAACCTTCTATTTGAAATATCTCCGATATTACCCATATAGTTTACAATAGAGTAATTTATACATAAAGAGAAAAAAGAAACTCAAGGTTCTTGAAATTATTCTAACGGGAGAGGAACAAGAAAATGATGATGAGAAACAACTCGATTATAGATGAAGAAGACATCGTAGACAATGCTTGACATCCGGAAAAAAGCTAAATTAGACTGATATTGTGCTTCTATTCCTTTTTTTTTTCTTACTCGAGGTCATCAAGAGACATTTTTGCACTCCTTATTATGGAAGTGTATTCATTAAGGAATCCATTGTTATATTTGGTTTTGTGTCAGAATAAGCACTTTTATATATGGCAAATGAATGACAGTCGGCAGATGTTTTATGCATAAGAATGAGAATTATTTACTAAGGATTCTTTATTGAATGCTATTTAGCATTTTTTCACATATTCTTATATTCTCATTATCAGAAAATAAATACATAGACTTTTTTTGCCTCTGATGGAAGCAAAATGCTGAACTAGGTCTGTATCAATTTTCTTTTTTTCTTCATGATTATATTATTTCATTAGAAAATAATTATAACCATTTTGTTCGCCGGTAGCATCACAAATAATATAAAATCTAAGTATACGCACGAATACACTAAAGTATTGATAATAGAAAACATAGGGTGAAAAGAAATTGTATAAATATGTAGGCGAGAATAATATTATTATTATTATTGAAAACTAAATTTGCGGTAGAGAAGAAAACGATTGTGATTATAGAATATTTTCTACTTTGTTACATATGACTATTACTTTTCTTAGTATTCCTATGAATTTATATTTGATCATTTCTAGATTAAATAATTTACATCTACAGGTTACATATAATTGGTGTTTCAGGATAAGAAGAAAATAGAACACTAGTGGCAATTGCTATAAGAAACAAACGTTTTTTACTCAAATGGAGTCTATTAAAAATAGAATTTACTTGCATAAGTTGATATGAGTTTAGACAAATTTTTTTTTCTTGAATTCCAAAACACTTTAATAATCAATGTATATAAAAATATACTATTATAGAAGATCAACTCCACAATAATAATACTTAAATAAAAAGAAAAGATAGCAAATGGTTTGAAAATAAGTCAAGAATGCGAAGGAAAAAGAACAAACGATTTTGTCGATCAAATAATTATATTCTTAGAACGTCAAAACACTTTGTGACAGAACAACAAAAACTACATCTTGATATATTTTCGTATGTCTATGTTATATTTCCAAATTATCCTCTACATTGTTTTTGTACATTAGCAGTGAATCTAATGTAAAAACAACGCATATAATTAACTTATGTTTGTGTTCTCGACTTGAGAATGAATCATTTGTCAGTATAATGATCATTATCATAATTTGACAACAAGAATTGGATTTTTGCTATCTTATAATCTATATTCGATATACGTTCTACAATCTAGATTTTATGATATGTCTTTTCCGAAGGTTTCAGAGTGCAACAAATAAACTTCAGCTAAATTCATATTGATTCATGTCATTAAGTTTCATTTTCAATAGGACTTACTTTTGGTTAAATTCCTAATGCTTTCTTCCTCTGATAAAATATATTTTTGCATACTCTATACTTTAGCTCAATCATATACAGTATAGAAGAAAAAGCTCAGTTATTTCTTATCAAAAACCAAGATGATCAACTAATTTGTTAATCTTCTCTATGATAATTTTTTTAGATAGAATAAATATGTTAACTTTGGATTGTTTATTTTATTACGTACTTAATCGAATTCTCAACAAAGCTATAACACATAGCGTAACCAAACAAGAATTTATGAAAACGTGTTGAGGTACCTTAATCACAATGCTGGCATGAATGTTTTCATGTCGATACCGACAACGTCAAAAACAGCTACTTTCAACGTAAAAGGTACATGAAGACGTTTAAAAAGGTAACTTTTGCAATTTCGAAAACGTGTATACATGTTTTTATTGCAACATTTTGATGTAGTTTGCAAATAAAAATGACTTATTTTTTTTAATGCGTGATGTATATCAAAAAGAAATTGTAAGAAAACGTTTTAGACATTTTCCAGATGCAAAAGTCACTTTTTGTAAAGTGTGTCTGCTTAGAAAGTTATAACATCATATTTTTCATGATCTATAAACATGTTTTATTGTTAAGCATTTGATAATCTATTCAAATATATAATTTTCTAAACAAATTAAAATCTATAAAATTTTGAAGAATATTCAATATTAAGTTTTTCAAACGAAAAAACAAAATGAACAATACGAGATAAAATGAAAAGACAATGGAAATTGAATTTTGAACGCTGATACTAAGATTGTGTCGGTAAAACTGCTACCAGCTTTATGCTTTTCTCTGTATCGTCTTTGTCGAACGGATTTTAAGTCACAGATTACCAAAAACAAACAATTGGGGATTCTAATTTAGACAAACTGTTCATTCCCATATTCACATTTTTTGGCGTTATTCCGTCTTTCATGGACCCGACTATATGATCTTAAAAGTAAAGAACTACATAAAGTAAAAGTATCATCCGTTTATTCGAACAGTTTAAATCATACATAAAACATGAGTTTTTATAAATGTGAAAGTCTATTCATCTCAATTTTTATTTGATTTTCTTCATTTACTGTTGTATTTATGAGAGTATTTTTTTTTCTTAACAATATTACGATTTTCTCAATTTTGAAGTCTTTTAAATAATGATGACAAAATAATTCAATAGATTAAAAATTTTTCAATTCATTTAACCCTTTGATTACTGATAAAAGATAAACATACGTAAAATAGAATGGCTGTACATTACATACATTTGTGTCTCTTACCGCAGGAGTTTAGTATGGGTCGTAACAAAATGATAATGTAGGAAGTTCCTGTTGCTTGACGTTTGCATTTACTCAAATGTATATAAAAGAAACTTACATTATAGGTGATTGAATTAGTTTCAAGCGATGATTGAGCTCATGACGTAGATATACGTCATCGATAACAAACGAAAGGATTCCTAGCCATCAGAAAAAGAGTAAAATAACATCATCGAAAAATTTCCTTTTAAAATCAAGTTTATGATTAAATTTCACTTTTATTCTTTTGTCTAATCTACAAAAAATCTATATGTGAAGGAATAACGTTTAAATTAATTATCTTCTATATAAATGACGATGACTATTTTAAAAAATTATTCCGTGAGATTCTAATCAAACAAGCAACAATATGCTCTAATATTGTTCGGGGTGTATATGATTAAGTATTCTATATTAATTGTAAATACCTGTTTATATATATATATATATATATATGAATGAATTGCAACGTATTGTATAATTGGTGTTTTCGAGTATCAATGCTAGAACTTTTGTTCTAATCGAAAGATGTTAAAGTGGTTTTTCTAATTCTATTCCTTATATTCATACTAAATTCTATGTGTCTATCTAGTATCATTCCTAAATTACAGGGGTGACAGTTAGAAAAAAAAGCATTTTTAAGCTCGGCATATCTAAAGAAGACACTGGTCTGAGAAAAAAAAAGAAAGAAAAAGAAAAGGAAATGTAAGTAGACCGTTTGTAGCTTGAATCATTCTATTGAAACATGTGATTCATTGGTATATACATCTTTCTCTCCTTATATTTCTCCTCTCGACATTTCTAGTATGTTAAATAATAGAGAAGTTCTTGATATAAAAATATTTACCTTCTCTAATTTCTATATTAGAGAAAGAAGGATCAAAGAACTTGAAAAAATAGTATATTCATGCACTTTGTATAGTGACATTTCGAAACTTGCTTGAATTGTAACTCATGAACGGATGTTCTGATTTTATCCAAATTTTCAGATTAAATAAAGCTCAACAAATTATATTAGTAAAAAATAATTTCAATTCTCAAGCTTTTAGTGTTTTCAATATATTCAAATTATACTACAAAATGCACAGTGACGCTTTTTCTTCAGTTATTTCCAGCTAAACGAACTCAAAATAATTCGATTCGAGTATAATTTAAGTCATGAAGAAACTATCTCAACAGATATCCATCGTTTGAGTTCATATTGGATCTACAAGCATGTCTCAATGAGAATAACGAAGCCTAAAACGGTTTGTCCTCATTAGCCTTTGTAGTCTGGTTGTGATTGGTTTTTAATGGATTTTTGACGCTTGTTTAGGTAATTCGTTGACAGGCTCGTCAATTAGTCAACGAAGTTTGATTTTCGTTTTCCGAAAGTTAATAACACAGCCCTATTTAAAGAAGAAAACTCATGCATTTGTACACAAATAAGAAGAAAGCGAGAGAAAAGGCGGATTATTCCCATTTGCGCAGTGAGATATACTTGGAAAACAACAAAATGATATTGTATTCTTTCTTTCCAACTTGAAAATAACACAGATCAAGAAAAATAGATCAAAAGATAAGAAAGAAAAACAATAAAAAGAGAGAAGAATAACAAAGAAGGGAAAATAACACGAACGATAGAAAAGGGGGGTAGAAGGCAAATACTATATGTTACACATTTAATAGCGAACAAATATCTTATTTGTTCGCTTACATCTCCAGAAGATCGAATAACAGAATTTTGATCTAAAGCTTTACCTATAGATAGGTTTAATGAATCTTAAAATATCCTGAAAGTTTTTTTTCCGAAAAGAATGTTCCTTCATCAATATATTAAAATTTCTAAAAATAACTCATTGCCATAGATATATCATAAAAATCAAGTTCACTTGAAAATTCAATAACTCGACGAAAAAACATTCTTTTCAGATAAAACTTTCAAATTATTCTAAGAGTCATTACATCTATCTGTAGACAAAACTTTAGATCAAAATTCTTTTATTCGATCTAGTGAGGAATACCTAAAAATGGATAAAAACTCAGTAAACCATTTATAACTCGGTACCAAAGGCCAAGGGAATGATTCCTTGTAGGCTTTTGTTGATCTCATTGAGATCTGTCTATGGATACAATATGTGTTCCAACGGCAAGATTTATTTGGGGTAGTTTCGTCGTAAGAAGAATTCGATGAATAAATCTGAATTTATTGTGAACTGTTCTTGACTAATCACTTCCCATTCAGAGCTGCAAGAATAACTCAAGTATTTTCATCTACTAATCATTGAATTAAGCACAAATAAAACTTTACACTGTGCATTTTGCTTTATATTCAATGAAGTGTTGAAAAACTTTTGCTGCACAGCATAGGCACAAAATATAATCAAATGTGTTTCTCGAAAATTGCGTACGTTTGTTTGCATTTCTTTTCCGTAATATTTGCACTAAACGGTTGCAGTTTACTCATAGAAATTGAATCTTTTCAAATGTACTTGGCAAAGAAAATATGCAAGATGCTTAAAGATAAGAACACGTGTGCAAACAACAAAACGGAAAAAAAAAGCAATAAAAGGTAAACTTGAGAGAGTTAAATAATGGCAATTTATTAAATTGAAAAGTTAGTAAATTCATTTGAATATATAAATATCAATGGAAAATTTCCAAATATGTTGTCCTTGGGAAAAATACATGTTAATAATGTAACTATGACGAAGTTGTTATTTTCTATGTTGGTTTTTTCTTCAAATGACATATAACAGGACAGAAAAAAATCGACCCAGTCATTTTCATTTATACTTCATTATTTTCATAGGTGTTCTTATTGACATAGCAGAGCTGTTGAGTCTTTTTTAGACAAGCATCCAATGAATACAACGACGACAATGCCAAATGACAGTAGAAATTCATCTCTTCAAAGACCATTAATAGTCGTCGCATGGGTAGATCAAAGTATAGGTGAAACAGGATCTCACAGATATATTAAAGAACGTTTTGAAACGCTTTCCAGTTTTATTACACAATGGTTATATTTTGATTCTTCTGATGATTTTACCTTTTATATTGAAAATAATCCTAATATTAAATTAATTTGTGTTATGTCTGGTGGAATGTCTCGTTTATTAGTACCAAAATTTTCTCATCTTGCTGCATTACATACTGTTTATGTATTTTGTGTTGATATAGAACGAGCTAAAAAGTCAATGGAAGATGAAATTAAAGTTAAAGGTATATTTAATATAGAAGATGATTTATATGAAAAGATGGCTGATGATTTATCGAAATTATTAATTGAAGAAGGTATTGCATTAGCACAATTAGATGAACGCAGTCTTGCAAGATTGCATTATGAAGAAGCCAAACGATTATTAAGTACTCAAGCAAAACTAACAGATGTAGATGAGGAAAAAACAAGAATTGAAGAAATTGATATAAGACTTGATCAATTGCTTGCTTAAATCAAGATATTATTTGCATATATTACATATATTACTTAGCAATCCAATATTGATCATAGACTTTATTCGTCATTTAACTGAATATCAAAACTATTTGTAAGCCAAAACCCAATTTTTCTTTTCGAATAAATCGAACGACTGTATTTGACGACTATGATACTATTTGTCTTAGGAAAAGTTTTGGAAAATAATTGAAGTAGATCTCACTTTCAAGATATATTTAACAAGAATGTTTTTTCTCGGAAAACAGAAAGAGATAAAAATCAATCTAGAGGTTTTGCAATAAATCTTTTCCCACAATAGAACATGCCGAATCTTCCCATATATCGTATTTATGTTCATAAACTTCAATTTAAAAGATTTTTGCATAAAACTAGAATGATATTATGGATATCAATAGACATTTTTACAGCTTTTAAAAGTCTAGAAGTGCGATGTTGACCTCAGTCTTTGAAGATTTTTCGCTCAGAGCTCTGAAAACTAGGCATATTTTGATATAAATATTCTAATTAAAGTTTCAATTTTTTTAGAGATTAATTAGTCAAAGAGGATTTTTTATTACATTGGATGTAAATTTTCTTCAATGTAAGTCTTCTATTGCGGGGGAGAAGTTTAATTTATTGGAACAGAACTTGACAACCATGAAGACTTGATTAATTTAGATTCCTAGAATCTATTTATTATCTTCATTATTATAGAAAATTCCATCTAGAAAGTAGTATATGAAACTTTCATCTTACCATGATGATTATCATATGTTGGGATTTTTAGGTGTCGTGTTCATTAATTACTTTTTCTAATTCAGGCATTTTCCGTTTGTCTTCTCAAATAAATAATTATATTAAAAATGTGACGAGAAGTTCAAGACTGATCACATATAGATGACGTTGGGTTTTTTGTTATGCACAAAGGTTCAAATATCGCTTCACTACGAACAAAAAATATGAACATGTTGAATGTATTTCAATTCAAGATGCTGTTTTTTTTTTCTAATAACACGATAATATAGCTCCTGATATTTGAAATTCGCGATATGTAATGCAGAGATATGACTGTGAATGTTAGTTATCTCTTTCTTGATACCTACGGCGGCTTATACAGTGATCGCTATGTTACTCGACTATCATCTGCTTGTCGATATTGAAAACTATCAACAAGAAGTTGATCTTTACCTTTCAATGATTGTGTAATGGATATAGTTGAGAAGAAACATACTTTCAATATATGTAGTATTTGTCCAGGGAATAACTAATCAAATACTGAGTTCTTTTTATTCCATTTAAAAACTTTGCTAATGTACTGACTGAAGAGAGCTATTAATTATTGTTTGTATCGTTATGTAGTATGTTATCGATTCTAGGAATTAATGTACATATAGCTTATTATTTAGTTTGGTCAGAATTACATTTACAAAGCTCAACTGTCTATGTACCGTAGCCATGATGAATGCACGATGGAAAATGATATGGCACTTTTTCAACAATATCTCGTCGTTTACACGTGTAAATTTTTGGATATATATATATATGACAAAAAGATGTGAATGTGTGATATAAATTAAACATCTTATGAAAAAAGTGTGAGAAAATAATCGAAAATAAATTGGATGCGTCGTTGACTTTTGTTTAGAGAAATATATTTTTTTAAATGGCCTATAAACGATAAGAGTTTGTTGTTGTAAACAATGATCGCATTTCAAAGCAGAATTTTTCAATATTTATCTTATGAACTTGAATTGTATACATTCCGTTATTACTAAAAATAAAAATTAGCTTATTTAGTTGAATAATAGTGATGATATTGAATTTTTTCATTAGTAAAGTGATTTTTAACCATTCTGTAAATTGAAATTTCATATATTTTGCTGTACAAGAGATCTACGGCATAAGACTTTTCTCGATAATTTTAATAAGTATCAACCTGTATAGATGTATAGCGAAAGAACTTGTTACTTTTAACTATTCAAAAAATAGTTTCATGTTGGATAAAACTACTAAATAGTTATATTAAACCATTGTCGTATAGCTTTGATAGCTCCTTCTGGTTGAGGATCTTCGCTAGCAAAAGGTAATGCACCATATATGGCCTTGATCAAACAACCATTATTAAATGCTTCAGCTAAATTATTACGCATACTTTCTTCATCGTCATAATTAATAAGATAAGATTCACTAACGACAAAATGAGATTGAGAAGGATCAATAATAGCAATGTGATATTTAAGTTCTGTTAGATTATAGACAGCTGCTCCTCGATTATCCATCGTAAATCCAGGAATTGAATATGAATTAACAGCAGTCCAAATAGGCGGTACAGTTGTCTCTATACATGAAGAGTTAACCGAAGCCATGGGTACAATGTGAGTGAAAATACTTTCGCGCGATATATTATTATCAACACAAACTTTAGCTAAACTTTGCAAATAATTGTGAATAGCTTCATAACAAAGTAAATCGAACAAAGCATCACGAGTCATATTTCGAACATGAGCTTGAGCAACTAATTTTTCTTCAGTCCATCCTTGCCAATAGAGTGAAGCATAACCAAGTTGAGCGCCAGCTTCCCATTCAAGCATTGTGATATTTCTTGCATTTAAAGGCCATTCAGCTATTGGTAAATGAGCTGGATCGATACGTCGATAATTAAGGATGCTTGTTTCCCAACCGATGTTAATACCAGCAAATAAATACGATTTATTTTGTTTATTTAATCTTATTATCCATTGTGCAAGAGGTCTACCAATACTTTCGTTAAATTGCATAAGTGAGAAGTGAATGAAATTCGGTGCACCGATGGCTGGAAACGCAGACGAGGGCGAACACCAAGGTCCCCAATTAAACCATGTTCGAGGAATGCGGCTCGGCATCTGGCTTCTATTCAAAGGAAATTCAATCCATTCTCGCATTGTTTCATTTTTCCAATATTTAATTACAGGTGCATCAGCAGTCGACCTTTCTTCGTCAGCACCCCAGCCATAAATTGGATCTATATGAATAAAAAGAGGTACGTTTGTGTATTCGGCCAGATCAAATGCTGTCTCAATTTCTGAACGGACAAAAGCACTCGATCGAGTAAGAAAGCGTATCTGTTGCTTGCCATATGCATACATACGTTGAGCATTCGGATTAATTTCACCAAATGTACGCTTTAATGAAGCAATATTAATAGTTTGATTAGGACCAGGACCTTCATCGGGACCACCACCTTCAAAAATTAAGTATTGAATATCTTTTTGAGAAGCCATGACCATATGTATGGTAAATGTAAAAGTCATAATAAAAAAAGTGGTAATGGTTGTATTTAAAAAGAAACATGAACCTTGCATATTTGATAAATAATTATTTGAATTTTAATAAATTTCTTAGTTTATATCATCCTGAAAAATCTTACTCCTTTTTTTTCTTTTGACGACAATCCTTATCACATGCACATTTTTGCATTTTTTTCTTTATTTCAATCTCCAAAGGTAAGCATGGCATTCTGCAGAACATATAGAGTGCACATAGTTTGTATACATTCATTTACAAAAGATTGAATTTGAAATTTGATATTAATCGAAATGATAAAAATTTCTTTTATTGCATACATAGTTAATTTTTACAAGAATAATAATGGAACAGCAAAAATACTTAGGTCTGACCAAAAGTTCCCAGATTATTAAAAAAAATATAAAGACAAAGAGAAAGTTCGAGTTTTATTTTATTAAATGTTCAAAATAGTCACCATGATTATTTATACAAAGTTCCATCCTTTCTAATAGTTAGTCAAAAGTTTTTTTAAATTCTTCTTTCGGAATTTTTTTCATCACCTTGGATACCGCACGAGCCAATGATTTTTCATCTGGTTGACCAGTTAAATTACGTTTGATGTAATCATTTAGCCAATAATCACATGGTGCAAGATCAGGTGAATATGGTGGATGCAACATTATAATAATACCTTCTTCTGTTAAATAATTAATAACATCGGAATGACTATGGGGTCGAGCATTGTCTTGGAGCAATTTTATACTTTTTGTACCTTCTGACTTTCTTTGTTTCCATATTTCCTTCACGACAGGCTTGAGGCAATTTTCAATATAATAGTTGTGATCTATAGTCTTGCCTTCGTCAACAGCATGTATAAGAACAGGGCCATTTGATTTAAAGAAAATAGAAAATAAATTTTTTGGTTCAAATTTACCTCGACGAACAATAGTAGTTGGTGATTCATCTTCGCCAACCCAGCTTACATTTGTTGACTTGTGATGAATCTGCCTGTGGTAAAACCACGTCTCATCACCTGTTATAATAGCACATAATCGCCAAGAACCATCACGAAATTTCGCCAAATTTTCACGACAAAGTTTAACACGTTCTTGCTTTTGTTCATCAGTCAGTTGATGGGGTATCGTGTAAAAATATCGAAAAAAATAACACCAAAAACCATAATATCGAAAAAAAACGGTCGAAAAATTGAAATCCCGAAAAAACAAGATTTCGAAAGAAAAAAATCGAAAAACAAATTTTTCGAAAGAAAAAATCTCGAACAGTCTGAAGCGCATGATTTTAATGTATTATTGAAATAAGATGTATTTGTACTTAATATTTTATTTTAAAAATGCATGTCAATGAAGTAACAAAAAAGAAAAATCGAAAAAAGTTAACTAGCGAAAGATCATTTGCTTGTTCCAACTAATACAGATAATCCCTCTAGAAGATCACCAAGACTAATTTCATTTTGATCAAATAGCAATTCAAGTGAAGAAATTCGTTGTTGAAGTGCAACAGTTTTTTTGTTTTTGTTCTTGGTTTCACCTGTCATCATCTTCACCATTTTTTGACGAACAACAACTTCTTCTCTTTTGAGACAATCAAATAAATGCCAGATGTTTGGATGATACTTAGCCACCAAACGATTAAAACGATGATTTCATCCTGAATAATAAAATAAGCTCGAGAAAAAAAAGAAATAACGTACCCTCTACCACATTATTTGTTCGCATCTCAACATCTGAGACATTCCATAGGCTCTACTTCACCTTTGTCATCCAATATCCATTAAAATAGTCGACCAATGGTTTCATTGAATCGGGAGCTTTATTTGAAATTTCTTTAAATGCACATTCAGTTTTTTCGATTGGAATGAGTGGAAGTGCCATAAGCTTGTGTGCAGTCGACCGTGCATGTTCATCGTCACGATAGATGGTGGTCAGATGGAGCTGTTGAATTTGTCGATGAATTGCATTAATGAAATGAAAGTTGCAACCAATGTGACATGCATTGGGAAACTAAAGATTACGATAACGATTAAAGGAAAAATAAAAGTGAACTTACTTCGTCAGCCATCGTCTTGATAAGAACAGGTTCAAAATCAGATGTGATTTTCATTGGTCAAAATATGTGATTAAGACGACGAGCGTGTTCGGCAAGAATCGAAAATAGCTCCTTGTATATCACCGCTGATCGACCACCAAGAAGAGCAATAACACAAACAAAACCTTTGTCATCAGATTATATGCCAATAATTACGAAAAATTATAAGAACAACTTACTTTGATCATTTTTTATTCCATGAATCGAATAAATCTGATCGAAGTGGAATGGACAACAATCAAATGTTCCGTCCATCAAGATATGAGAACAAGTAAAGAGAAGGCGCAGTTGTTCGTCGGTTGCAAAGACAATTATTCGTTTGACTACTTCTCCATTTGAACATTGAACACGATCAGATAGTAAATATTGTTTACGATTAGTTGTTTTTTTGTATTTGACGGAATATCGAAGTCCACGGAGGTAGGAAGAATAGGCATTGTCAATCGACGAGCCTGATTAAGTCCAGAATCTACAAGATAAAGATTATCCAATTTATTGGAAGAAAAAATGGTTTACACTTACTAGCTTCTCTAGCTGTAGCAGCAAGAGCCAGAGCTGATTTTGAGAGGTTGGCTTTAGCAAGCTCTTCATTGTATATTCGACCTATAGCCGTTGTTTCTCTGTTCACTCGAGCTTTGGCATTGATCATCAGCTTGCGCACCTCTAAGCTTTCAGGAACTGGCATATGAGTATGAACGTTTTTCGTGTATTTGATAAACTGGTCATTAGAATCGAGATGAACACCTGCCCAACACATTTTCTCCTCACATATCCAATAACACACCTTCGATGTTGATTTATTTTGTTGATAAATGCAGCCATCAATTAACAGTAGACATTTTTTTTTTATTACTTGTAATAAATGAAATTTTAGGTGTTTTATTTGAGACCTGTTGTGTCATGTTTGTGGTGTAATAAAGTTTCAACAGACAACAAGAAAAAAAAGATCGTGTTTACAAAAAAGTAAATGAGACGAATGAATGAAAATAGTCTGTGCGATGTGGACGGTGTATAACAAAGAGAAGATATAGAAAACATTAGTATTTAGTCAACAGAAAAAAAAACAGACGAACGAAAAATGAAAGAAAAATTCTCGATTGGTAGTAATGTTTACATGAAACTAGCTATGTGATAATATAAGGAAAGGACATACATCTCTCGAGATTTTATTTTCCAAATTTTAACTATTCGAAATCGTATTTTATTCGAAATTTTTATTTCGAGATTTTAGTTTTTCGGAATTTCGACGTTCGAGTTTTTTGTGCTCGGCATTTTTTCGTCGGGATTTCTCCTATTCGAAATTTTGTCGTTCGAGATTTTTTTTCGAGATTTTGTTTTCGAGGTTTTTACAACAATTCGTTGATGGGGTACCCAACGTGATGTAATTTTTTTCATCTTAAGACAATCGTGGATAATTCGTTCTATTGTACCATGAGAGAGGTATGTCTCAGCTATAATATCATCATAAGTTGAATGTGGATCGTTGTTGATAATCTCTCGTACTAGTTCAATATTTTCATCTGTCAGCTCGGATACTGGACGACCAGATCGAGGATCATCATTGACATCTTCTCTTCCTTCACGAAAACGCTTTGTCCATTCTGCAACTGTTGGATATGATGGAGCCTTGGATTCCAAAGCTGTTGCAAGTTCTTCGTGAATCGTCTTTGGATTTATCCCCAAAATAGTTCGAATTTTTATGTAATATCGATTGTATTCATTATCCATTTTTGAAAATTTTTTTTTAGTTTGAATTAAAGTTTATCGAAAAAATACTATAACTAAGTCCAAAAGAGTTTTACTATTATAGATAAGACATTCCACTATTTATCCATGCACAACACTCTTCGATATTAATTGGTTTATAAAATTGCCAATAGCAATCTGGGAACTTTTGGTCAGACCTAAGTATATTGTGTATTTAAATTCTCATCTTTTTTTATATGATTGCATGTTTCTCAGCAACAACCGCAAACATTTTCTAAAATACGTAGTTAGTTTAATCCCATAAGAAAAAAAAAACAGAAAATGATTTTAAATTAGAATGCATTTAATATGCAAACAATTGATCAGTTGCTAATGTGCATGAATCACTTATTATGAATTATTTGTAACATGGAGACCTGAGAGGTGACAGCCCTCATCATATCTGTTTACTTCATTAGAAAAACTTCTATTCTGTTCTATCTTTGAAATTACGATGTTTGTCAACACCATCATATTTTTAATACTTCTCTTAAATAACACTTGTATACGTCGTTATCTTGCTTTTGGTCAAACCCGAACTAACATGAGTGTTGAAGTATGGGGTCGAATTTTTGAATGCTCTATTTCGTTCACAAACCATGATAGACATAGCTTTGAAAGTGACACTTCTCAATTTTACAGATTACTAAAAGAGAAATCCATAGATTTAATGACAAACTTCAAGGTTCTAGAATAATATTGATTTTATTTTTCTTGATATATCGAACGCAGTATCGAATGTATATTAAGAGTATGATGCAAAAAAATGCCTGTTGACATATTTATTTGGTCGATGTCCACTTCTTAAGTTTTTCGAGTGAATGTTTTAGAATTATTTTCAAACGTTGTGAAATATCAGTGTGTATTCAGTGAGACTAGCACACTCCTTCTCAGGGTATTCTTGGGTTTCATCAAAAATGGCGCATCATTGAACTGTTGAACGTCTGCCAATGGATTGACCAGTCATTTTATGCTACTGAAGTCACGGTTATTGTAACGGTGCTCGAAATTGTCCGTAAGAGAAAGATTTCTACCCGTATCATCTCATATAAAATTAGCAAGGTCCAAGAATGAAGTATAGCCAAGCATCAAGGGGTAGTAAAACAATTTTTGAGCCGGATTCGTACGAACCATCACCTACCCATCAAGTAGCACAGACTTCAGATTAGTTGAAAACTTGTGATCGATGTTCGAGTGATTTTTTCAGAGAGAAAAACTCTCAAATTTCGACGAATGAAAGTGTTTCTTAAACAAAGAACAAGAGAGAATTGGTGTGTAAACTCCAACTTGGTCTAGAGTACATGTATAATCTGTCAATTAAACAAGTTTTTATGTATATTTCTTCTGGCAGGATATATTTTGAAATGTTTAACGGCAATTTGCTTTGCATCCTACTGTATATTGCACTGACTCAAAGCTATTTGCCAAACATCTCATTCTATTAGTAACAACAGTTATTTTGCATCTTACATAATAATTCCATAGCGATCGCGGTAATCGTTTTTTGAATATCGTTAAAGTACCATTATAAAACAAAAATGGTTAGAGTTTAGAAGAAAAACACGGCAAGTACGTATCACAAAATCTTTTGTAACACTGATTGATTTATATATTTTCTAGCGTCAAATATTATTTAGATTAATTGGAATTTTATCTGACAGTGAAAACCTTCATTCATGCAATTAAATCACTTATTTTAAGAAATTAATTATAAATATGTGATATAGAAATACGAATCTATTCTATCTCTGTTTGAATAAGCTATCTAAAATCTATAGAATATTGTAATATGTCTTCTCATATTTAGGTTTTGTCGTCTGTAGCAGAGATGTAGAGAAAGAGAGTAAGAAAGTTTAAAAACTTGTAAAAATTTTAATATAACGTGAATTCTTTATTTTTGTTATTCTTTCGCAATTTGTTTATTTGTGTTTTAATATTATTTGAGTGCTATGTGCATAATAAGTTTCAATGAAAAAAAACCAGAAACACGAACTATGATTTTTAAAATAGACAACAACCGTGCAACTTTAATTGCTCAAATCATATTCATTGAATAATAGAATAATAATTCTATGCATAACATTAATAAATTTATATCATTTATGTGGCAACGATTAAGACGATTCCTCGGGTATATTGGTTGATACTTTATCCAAACGTATTTTTCTAAGATCAGCAGTTAATTTAATTCGATTTATTAAATGTAATTGTTCTTCTTCTAAACGTTGTTTTAAATCATTTAATACTTGTGTTCGCTTAAGCATATCTTGTAATGCTTTTCTTAATTCAACATTTTCATTTTGAATACTTACTGTTTGATCATAAAGAAATTGTTCAGCTTCCTAATAATTATATTTATTTGAAAAATTACAAAAAGGAAAATTAATTTTTTTTTAAATAAAAATAACCTTATTAGCTTGTCGTCGAATTTCTTCAACTTGAGCATTTTCATTGGCACGTTGTTCTTGAAGGTCTTTTTCATAAGTTAATTTCATACGAGAGATTTCATTAACGTGTTGACCACGTACTCGTGTTATTTCATATTGTAAACGCTTGATTTCGTTATTTTGTTGTTCTTGAATTAGCTATTGATAAAAATTATTTATAAAAAAAAAACTTTTAGTTTGAAAATGTATACTTGGTATCCATTCATAGCTTCTAAATCGTTTTTTACTTGTATTAATAATTGTTCTTTTTCAATTAATTGCAATCGTAATTCTACAAAATTAAACATAACATATAGTCGATTGAATTTTTTTGTTCTTTTTTCAAGGATTATATTATTATTCAAAAACTTCATTTTAATCCAAATAGGTAGGGAATTTTTTATTCTATAAAAATATAACATCGATTTTTCAAATGAATTTATGTAGCCAAAATGAAAGCTTAATATCTCTTCAATTGGATTCTGTGAAAGAAAATCATCAATGTATTATAATTAGTTGAATACTACGAATAGAATATGTCGGATCTAGTGTTTTTGAATACGAACCCGAACCGTACTCTTAATTGTAATAAAATATCTTAGTCTGATAGTTGCTTCAACTTCTGCTCTTACCACACTCTACACATCTCTCAGACAATCTTGAAAATAATCTTATAATAATCAAGTCATAATTGGTTATACTTTCTAGAGTATAATCTGTTGGACGACGCTCACGAAATCGAATTTAGTCGAGAGAAAATTTCCTGGCACGAACCAGAATCCACTAAATTTTATATATATATAATCAAAAGACAAAATATAAAAAGTTCCTAAAACAAAATTGTCTATTAAATAAGATTATAATAGAGATTTTGTGAGAATCATGTTGAAATATCCGTTAATCATAAAAGATTTTGATGAAATACCTTCTTTTTTTTGTTTATATTCTTTTATCATATATTCTTTATCTCGACTAATATCTTCAATTTCTTTTCTATGATAATCAGTTAATGTTACAATTTTTGTTTGTCGAAGATTTGCTTTTTTTGACATAAAATGCATGTACTCATCCTGCAATAAGATATAGGCATCAATCATTATGTACGAAATTTTAATTTACTGTTGCGATTCGAATTTTCTTTGCTTCTTCATTAAGCCAATGATTTTCTTCTTCACTTTAATTAAAAAAAAACAATATAAAACTATATAAAGATTAAAATTTTAACTTACGCTACATGAGCACGTAATTTTATTTCGGCTAATTCTCTCACTTTATTATCGAGCCTAAAATAAAGTTGAGTCTGAATGAAACATTTATTCAAGGCAAAAAAAAATCGACATGATATTTAACTCTCGAAATAAATCCTATTGGCCAAAATCTTCTTGCACTTTTTCTTAAAACAACACTCTTCATATGTAAATAAAGCACGATTAAAATAACATAAGTTCTCATTGAAACGTACTAAAGAGTCTTTATAAAATAAACTTACTCTGTTTGTAAAATAGTTTCTTTTACAGATGGTCGAACAATGTCTAATTTTTCTTTGGATTTTTTCTGTCCAGTTTTTCCTTTTTTGCCTTTCGGTGGCATTATTCAGATTAGTTGTCAAATTCAATCCTTTTATCTCTTAACAAAAAAGATTGATAGAGTAACCATTATTATTGTTATTACTATAGTAACATGCAAAATAATAGATGGCGTTCGTAAAATTAGAATAATCATTTAGAAAAAAAATTTAAACAAGAAAATTATCATAAAAATTATAATGACTATGAATTAAACATTGATGATTTTAGTGGAACTAATTTTAAGCCAATCTTTGGACTATAGAAGAAACCAAAAACTATTTGCTTATTTTTTTATACTCATGCTTGTGTAATAGTTACGTACGAGTTTAAAGTACTGCTCAGATTTTTTTCTTAATTGAGAATAAGCTTCTTTGTTCAAATAATTGCTTAAAAAGGTTTTCATATTCAAATGATATAAATTGCCCTGGACTGAGAAAAACAAAATTCTTTTTTTTTTGTTGTCATTCTTCTTTCATGATTCAATAACTGACGTCAACGAAAGAGAAAAAGAAGGCTTCTGCAGAGGTTTGAATGAGTATTTTCAGGTTTTGTCTTTTCGTATTAAGAAAGAGTTATTTTGAAAAAGAACTCCAATGCCGTCTTTTCTTTTATTTTTGTTACTTATCGTCGAAAATTTTTCTTTGTCTTGAATAATTTCTAAAAACGCCTCCAGAACAATCAAAATCTGGTTTATGTCGAGTCCCAAAGAAACTAGCATCCTGTATTGTATACTTGTCAATGCATGTAATTGAAGTATAATTTCGTCTATACGTTATCATGTTTATAATACTTTATATTTCTTATTTGCGTTTGTTGTCTTTTTTCAAATTATGTTTTCAGAAATCAATGTTTTTACTTCGTCGACTTTTACCCATATCCTCATTCATTCTAGAAAGCACTTCATCATTTTCTGCATCGAGCAGCTTAATAATTAATTCAAAAAAATATTCTATAATGTCAACAACATCAAAAACATCGAATTTAAATACAGGTGCACAAGGTGAAGCATCAGCCAGCAAAGCACCACAAGGAAATGAAAATAATCGTTATGAAATTGTTGAACGTGGTCAATTACATACACTTAATTATCGTTGTTATTTTCGAGATGTTCAAACAAAATCAATTGTATCACCCTTTCATGACATTCCACTTGTTAATGAACATTATTCATCATTAAATCAAAATCAAGGAACAACAATTTATAATATGGTTGTTGAAGTACCACGATGGACAAATGCTAAAATGGAAATAAATAAAACATTAAAACTAAATCCACTTTCACAAGATGTTAAAAATGGTTTGTTTATTTTATTTATTTAAATTTAATGTTTTTTTTGTTTCTTTTTATTTGCAGGTAAACCTCGTTTTGTTCATAATATATCTCCTTATCATGGTTATTTATGGAATTATGGTGCTTTACCTCAAACATGGGAAGATCCAAATCATATTGATGAAGATACAAAAACAACAGGTGACAATGATCCATTAGATGTATGTGAAATAGGTACTAATCTTCATCCAACTGGTTCAGTTGTACCTGTTAAAATAGTTGGTGTACTTGGTTTAATTGATGAAGGTGAAACAGATTGGAAATTAATTGGTATTGATATTCGTGATAAGCTTGCATCACAAGTAATATTTTAAAATAATATAAGATTATTAGAAGAGAAAATTTTATTTTATTTTATAGATTAATGATATTAATGATGTTAATACACATATGCCAGGTTTTCTTGAAGCAACACGTCGTTGGTTTAAATATTATAAAGTTCCAACAGGAAAGCCTCCAAATAAATTTGCACTTAATGAACAATATGGTGATCGAGCATATGCACAACGTGTTATTGAAGAAACAAGAAAATATTGGGAAAAATTAACAAGTGGTGAAACAAAGGTTGACGAGAAAGTTTGTTCAGTTGTTAATACAACACTTAATAATCGTGCTACAATTAAAAAAGAAGATGCAGAAAAAATTGTTGAAGCTGATGAAAAACATCAAAAAGAGCCAGTCAAACTGGATTCAAGTGTTCATCAACTTTCATATGTTCGAGATGAATAATTAAACAAATAACAAAAGAAAAAATACATAAACTGACAATTATCATTAAGGAATCTTCCCATTCTTAAATGATTTCTTTTTACAATCCAATGTGTTTTTTTTTTATTTGTAACACATTTCTATTATATTTGAGAATATAAAAATTAAATGACTAAAACGAATAAATTTGTGAAAAATATCTTATTTTCACTATAGAATTATGACAAAGAATTCATTTGTTCGTCTTAATGGAATATCTAATAATATATGGCATTTGTTGCTTAATCGTCCCGCATATCATAATGCTTTTAATACAGAATTAGCACATGAATTGATTACTTGTTGTAATCGTATTAATACATCGAATGATATTCGAGCAGCTGTAATTATTTCTGGCGAAGGTCGATCATTTTGTTCAGGTGCTGATCTTAAAGAACGTCAATCAATAAAAAGTTCGAAACAATGGATGCAACAGCATCATATATTTGAACGTATGTTCAATTCTTTAGCACAATTAAAACAGCCAACAATTGCTTGTGTCGAAGGATTTGCTTTAGGTAGACATTGGATTATTGAATTTTCAAAACATCTATTTATTGTTCATTTATCTAGCTGGTGGCTTTGAATTAGCTCTTAATTGTGATATGATTATTGCATCTCGCTCGGCAATATTTGGATTACCTGAGGTGACTCGTGGCATTATGCCTGGTGGTGGTGGAACTCAATTACTTACTCGTCTTGTTGGTCCAGCTCGAGCTAAACAAATTGCTATTACTGGCAGACGATTAACTGCTCAAGAAGCTTATGATATGGGTATTGTGCAAAAACTAACTAATGAAAATGAAGCATTAAACAAAGGAATTGAACTAGCAACGACTATTGCTGCTAATGCTCCATTAGCTACACGAGCAATAAAACAAGCCATTGATGAAGGATGGGGTAAACACATTGATGAAGCTAAAGCAATTGAATTGAAATATTATGAACAATTAATTGATACTGAAGATCGTCATGAAGGCATTCGAGCATTCAATGAGAAAAGAAAACCGCAATGGAAAGGAAATTAAGTTTTCCTTTTATTTTTCTTTGAAAAATTTAGTTTAGAAATTAAATTATCGGGTGCAACAAAAGTTTTGCGACATTTGTGTTTTGCATGTATCTCTGTTTAGGAGCATGACAAAATGTTGATCGTTTTTTTTTAAAGATGCGTCGTCGAATTCTGTACAAACTTTCATTTATCTTAATTTAGAACAGTAGAAGTGAAGATTTTTATAGGCTGCATAGTATAATTATGTGAATCGAGCCTACTTCCCACAGTTTTTAGTAATGTATTTTTTTTTGTTAAAGTAAATATTTACTTTTTAGGCTATGATTTACTGTTAGATAGCTCTCGAAATCCTCTGTCGATTATTTATAAATACGAAACTTTTAAAAGCTCTTTCTTTCGGTTAGACGCATGGTCATATTTTGAAAATAGCGCAATTTTCATGTTTGGTTACGCCTTTTCAAAGAAAGCATTCTAGAAATGTCACTGTGAAGACATGGCCTAGTGCCCGAAGGCGTGTCAGGTTTTTACTACTGTTGGGTCGGACGTTCGAATCCACCTTGTGTTTGCTATTTTTATTCTTCTCCCATTCTACGGACTAGTCCGGACGGGCTAGATGGATAGACGGACTAGATATGACAATGTTTCAGGAAGTGATCGAAGGACATGTCTTGTCAATAAAACTAGTCATGACGCATACGAGAGACGTTTCAGACTAGACTTGACGGGTATTCCGACCTTTTCGGACTAGTCAACCACCCGTCATCACTCATTTTTTGCTTACTTGGGCTGTGACCAAACTGTTTCTATTTTTGTAGTATTTTGTAGAAAATTGATTTCTTTTTCTATGGGAAGCCCTAGAAACGCGTGTGACGATATTGATGTCACAATTCACTGATCTTCTTTTCCTCTTTCCTCTCCCCTATATAAAGGTGTGTTATATGTGAAGTAGCTCAATAAACATCATTGCCAGGAGTAGCGACAAGATATTCAATCCAGTTTGTCGTTACAGCGTAGCAAAAGAATTCAGCTGGAAGAAGAATCCAAATCGTATCAATAAGGTCATTTTAGTCGTAGCAGATTAGACAGACCATGGTTTTTAGACAAATATTGATTGTAATCAAACACTTACAAATAATTCTAAAAGAGCATTTGATATACACTCAAATTACAAATAGAGAGTCTCTTTCATGTCTGTTTCTAATTTGAAAAAATCGCTGAAATAACAGAATATAATGTGTGGGAAGTAGGCTCAATTCACATAATTATGCTATGCGATCTATAAAAATGTTTAGTTCTACTGTTCTAAATTAAGATAAATGGAAGTTTGTAGAGACTTCGACAGTGCATCTTTTGAAAAAAAAGATCAATATTTTGTCATGCTCTTAAATAGAGATACATGCAAAAGAAAACATGTCGCAAAACTTTTGTCACACCCGGTATAAAAAAAAAAAATTTAATATATATGGTGTCGTATTTTATAAATAAAATAATCTTATATGTAATTTCAATCAAAACTAATATTTTTCAGTTATAATATTACAATAGAATAAATTATTGAAAATGAAATATGTAAATAAGATAACGAGATCAAAAAGTGAACTTATACATATGTTTATTTGATACTGTGTTAAATTTCATGAAGTTATTATGTAATTTGAATTGCTATAAGTAAAAGAAAAATGTGTCCTTTCTCAGAAATACAGAAAGTCAACGCTCTCATAATAATAATACGATGATAAAATAAAGTAAATACATCGAAATAAATATCAAAAGAAGAATTGATTTCAAGCGTAACAGTATACATTACTGAAACATCAGCAAGTATTACTGCCAATAGTGTAAAATCTTATATATGTGATCGCTGATTTTTTTATATTTTCTATAATAAGTCACTATGCTCTCATGATTATAGTAGTTTGATTGTTATCTGATAATATAATCTTCATGTCAAAATTTCTTTCAATGTGTACGAATATCCAAAGAAGATTCCTGTATCTGAAAGTCTTTCCACAGATATACGAAAGATGTCTTAAATCGGTTTATGAAAAAACAAAAACAACATTAAAAGTTTTTTATTTTTATTTAAAATTGCTTGCGAACTATTCTTTTGCGACGGTAGAAGAAAGAAAGAAGAATATCTCTGCCTGTTAGCTACCATGCTGTATGAGGTACTGTGTAGCGGGAGATTCAATAGCCGATACTGCTTGAACTTCTCATATAGACTAACTAACCACAACAGTAGATTTATATCATATCATAATCAGCATGCTATTGGACAGTTGATTCGAGACAAAAAATCATCAGTGACTTGTTCAAGGTAAATTTCACAGTTCGCAATACTGAAGTTTGCATTAGAGTACCTTATGAATATATGTTGAACAATGTAACTACACAGTCATGATGGCTTTGAGACAATACCTAAGTTTTTAAACAGTGGCTGAAAGAATGAATAAATTATTCTTTAGCAATAAAATGAAATTATTTTCATAATCATTTTTGAATAATTTATTTCGAATTACTATAGATCGTTAATATAAATAGAAATACTAAGTGACTTTTGTCACAAGTACATTGTTAATCTTGAAAGTATCCATCTTTGTTGACTGGTTACTTTGTTCGACACGTATCCACAGAGTGCCGTGTTAAAACTTAGTAACACACAGCTATCGAATGGCCCTGGACAAACTACTAACGATCATTTGTCTTGAATCATCCGCCTGATAGCATCCTGACTACTTTATAACGTACACTAGTACTTGTGGTTAAATTATGTGAATAGGCAGCTAAAGCAATTGAGCGTAAGAATTCTGCGTCAGGCTGATACTGTGTCCGGGTCTATAACTAGTTAAAGTCATAGAAAAGATATCGGACTATTGAATCCACCACTAGGTAGCATACTATATCGCAAGATAGTTGAAAGACTGGAGTGTTCTTTCTTCTTCCTAACCTTGAACGTTCATACGTTGATGAGTCATATAAATATATCTTCTCATCATGATTGACATGACATATTCTAGCTTCAATGAAGTATGATGACACTTGTTGTTCAGTCATACAAAATTTATAGATACCAATCGAATGACAACCGTCATCGTAATATCACTCATTCAATCACTTCTTTTAGGCCTCTTTGCTTTTCGTTTTCGCTTTTTCTTCTTTCTCCTCATGACTGTCACCTGTATTACGACTTATACTTTTCTTTTAAAATCATAGGCATTGTTTTNGGACAAATTACTAACGATCATTTGTCTCGAATCATCCGCCTGATAGCATGCTGACTACTTTATAACGTACACTAGTACTTGTGGTTAAATTGTGTGAATAGGCAGCTCAAGCAATTGAGCGTAAGAATTCTGTGTCAGGCTGATACCGTGTCCGGATCTATAACTAGTTAAAGTCATAGAAAAGATATCGGACTATTGAATCTACCACTAGGTAGCATACTATATCGCAAGATAGTCGAAAGACTGGAGTGTTCTTCCTTCTTCCTAACTTTGAACGTTCATACGTTGATAAGTCATATAAATATATCTTCTCTTCATGATTGACATGACATATTCTAGATTCAATGAAGTATGATGACACTTGTTGTTCAGTCATACAAAATTTATAGATACCAATCGAATGACAACCGTCATCGTAATATCACTCATTCAATCACTTCTTTTAGGCCTCTTTGCTTTTCGTTTTCGCTTTTTCTTCTTTCTCCTCATGACTGTCACCTGTATTACGACTTATACTTTTCTTTTAAAATCATAGGCATTGTTTTCTATCGTATAAATAATGTATCCTACAGGTGAGCGTATGATACATCTAGAGTAGTTATTAAGAAACTTATTGAAAACGATCATTCAGTCTTTTTAGTGGTTTTTTTAATTTATTGAATATTGTCGCTATCTGAAATCATAATGGCTCGATTTATTCTTTTGTGTAAATCTGAGTGTGACAATAACAACGAAAAAGGTATGTCTCTATAAACCACATAAAAAGCCTTCTGGCACGTTTAAAATGAATAACTAAACGTATTAAATATACAATAAAAGGAGATTAAAAATTTATAGAAGTTATTTGTGTTGACTTATAATGTTAGTTTTTATTCGAGTTGATTACATAGAGAAAATATAAACGTGTTTTTTTTTAACATTCACTTCTAGTTCTTGTAATTTATATATAAAAATTATATCGTTCTTGTCCTCTTATATGACGAAAGAAAAATATTCTATTTATTCATCTATTCTTGCAAATTCAAGGGTACACATTAAGCAAATACAATTATGCAAGCAGACAAGATTATTGATCATATTGTTAAATGGTTAAAAGATTATGCAGTACAAAATTCAGGCATTCAAGTTTTTACAGTCAGAATGTCGGATGGTATCAATTCATCTGTGTATCTACTTCGTGTGCTCGTACTGAATTGCCTTTACTTGCTCTTGAATTACCACTTGATCTATCGAAAACTAAAGAAAAACGTAAATCAATCCATATAGAATGGCTAGACAACAAATATGGTAATGATCATATACAATCAATGAATGTCAATTTAACAGAAGCGTATAAGCGATTTAAAGAAACACGTACAAAATTACAATCGAATAATAAAACTGAAATAGCACTTACTAATGCATAATCACGAATATGAATGATAAAGAAGAAGAAAATATTTCTTTTAAAATCTCATTATTAATTTTTATTATTTAGGCTATTCTTTATTATTTTGCTCAATTAAATGGATATCTTGTAGATGCTAATGTAAATAAGGTGGAGGATTATAGTATTGGTTATTTTACTAAATACGGTAAATTTTATTTAGTTGTTTTTTGTTCATTGAATAGAAATATTTTATAAACTAGGAAATGGTCGAGTCGATATAAATCCAATTGATGATCTTCTTAAATCTGAAGTTCGTGCATTAGCTCGTGAATTAGGTATAGATCAATCTATTATTAATGCACAACCAACTGATAGTTCTTTATGATGATATGTGTACAAATGAAGCTCAAATAGGAGCTACATATGACGAGCTTGAATGGGCTGTGAAGCAATATGAAAAAGAAAACATTGATGAACAAATGACTGAAAGAGAAGAAAAAGTTATGAATATTTTTTTACAACCACATCAATCAAATATGCATAAAATGAAGACAATTCCTATTTGTATTATACCAAAAGAATTTAAGCAATCAACATAAAAATTCAATTTTGTTAATTATACAAATTTACGTATTCATATTTATAAAAGCAAAAATATTCATATGACTTAGAGTGGCTCTGAAAATTATTCGGCAAGATTTCTTGATCAATTTTTTTCTACTGTCGTAAATACTAATAAGAATCTGATTTTCAACAAGGATCTTTAAAGATGAAAATGATCGTTCGATTTCCAAGGATAGGGTCTCTATAACACCAGAACCTAAATTTTTCAGTTCATGAAATTCACAAATAGTATTTTGTTTCGATTATCTAAAATGATAGAAAAAATTATTTTCTAGAAAATGAAATATCTTTCACCTCTCTACAATACTGTTTCACCGAGATACATCAATCTTACGAATGTCACAAAAGTTGTCTTTTTCTGCTATTTTCTATGGATGCATTATTAGTGTGCTTTTCATAAGGTTGACATATTTCAGTCGAAAAATGTCGTAGAAAGCTGAAAAAAATTTTACTTTATAGAGAATTATTTGCTCTATCATTCTAGATAATCCAACTAGAATTTCATTTGCAAATTCAATGAGCTGAAAAGCTTAGATTTTGGTTTTTGAAGGGTTCTATCCTTAAATAAGTAGCAATGATTTTTTTGTTCGAAAATTTTTGTTGGAAATAAATTGTTCCATTGAAATTACTATTTTAATTCTTATTTTCGTTTACGATAGTGGAAAACAATTGAAAATAAACCTGATGAAATAAATTTTGAGAGTCACTGTCTATGAATATCTTTAATCTTCAATTTTGTTATTATTTTTTATCATGAAATCTAGAATGATACTCTTCAAAAATGAACAAAATTACTGAGATGTTATGTTTAGTATGATCAATAGACATTGAAAACTTTTGAAATAAGATTTACACGTCCTTCTCATTATATACAAAATTAAAACAAAAACAATTTATTAACATAATGAGTTTCAAAATAAGTATAAAAGCGTTTTATCATGCTCGATATTATTTTGATAGCCTTGATTTTTATTCATGCATTTGTTTTATAAAATCTATTCTTTTTAATAACAAAAATTCTGTCTTTGGTTTATTCTTGTATCTGATGTCTTTATTTTAAAATAAATACTCTTATTGAAGTCTGATGGGGTAACAAAAAAAAACTTTTTTTCATATGAAATTAACTACATTTGACGAAGTGACTGTATCTTATATAGCGTTGATATATTCGATGTCATGAAACCTTAAGAAACATGGAAGAATGTAGCCTTGAAAATATAACGAAGCGAGATACACAGGGCAATGATTATTATTGCTCAGAATGATTGATGTTACAGAAAAAATGACTTGTGAATTAATTGATAATTACTGAAAAGAAAATGATGCCAAAATCACGATAGCAAAATGTGGAGGCGGAATCAGTCATAAACATATTAAATTATGGATTTAAATGTTTTCATTGGATACTTTCACATTGATCATAGCTGAGTTAATATAATTATTTTATGAAACTTGTTTTTCATCTGATGTCACTCAGATATCAACAATGCTTATCATGACATTCGAGTATACTTCACAGTGTTAAACTTGGATTTGTTTTTAACGAATTTTTTACATAAAATGCAATTTATACAAGCATAATCATTGATCAAATCATATAAGCAAAAAATACGCTATCATGAAAAATTAAATTTAACAAAACTAACTTTGATTTTAAGTCTTGTAAAATAAATATATATACAGATTTGGAAAGAATATTTTTCCAGCGAAGTACAGCAAAAAAATACAAATGAGCACAACATTAAATTTTATATTAAACGAAAGTTTTTTGAAAACGATATTCAACAGTATAACAAAACAGTTCGTAGAATGATCGTGACCTCCCAGGTCTCTAATTATCGGCTCCTGGAAACAATCGGATTTCACTGAAACCGGTTAGAAGTCGCGGGAAAAATTTGAAGACAGTCCGGTTCGAAATTCTACTTCTAAGTTCTATCGGTTTGCAGTTTTTTTTTCTACCAGAACCGACTCGTACTCCTTGACCTGAACTGGTGGATTACCGAAAGTTCCAAAACTTCAGGTTTATAATTGAGGACAATGAGTAGAGAACTACGAAAAAAAGATCTCAGAAAATGTTTCATCTATCAGACTTTATAGAGCTCTCTATATCGATCATTTTGATGAAAAAATCTTTTAAATTTGACAAATAGGTCCTTGTACTCAAATAAAAGTACTGAAAACGTCATAGTTTTAGCAGATAGACCTATCTCAAATTGTTTAGTATTTTGAACTTAGAACTGTCATTTATTTATCATACTTAAAATAAATCTTCCTATCGAAATTATCGACAAAGAAAGTTCTACAAAATTTGATAGGCTTAATGCTTCTTGTGATCTATTTGTTGTTTTGCTATGATTGACTGTCCATAGTCTTCAATTAAATGTGTGAAATTTTGGAATTTTCAGTAATTCTCTAAATCATAATCATTTTAAGAGTTGTTAGTTATACTTCTAAAATCTATTTTCAACCAACTTTCATTTGGTATAAACTTAATGATGCTATTCTTTGTATTTGGAGTCGCTCTTTACTAGAAAAAAAACAAATTATTTTTCATTCTGTACATTAGAAAACATCACTTTTCTGAATTTATTTTCAACATTATAGTAGAACAACAAAAACAAAAAAAAGAACGAAAATTCTAATAAAGTTTATGATTACGTGTCGAAATTATCTTCAGTGTTATGATCAAAATGTAATAAATTTGTTATTGACAAACTAAAAGGATCATATTCATGTGAATATTGATTAAACAATAATGATGTTTTTTCTTTATCCGTTAAAAATAAATTGGTAAAAGAATCTGTACAAACATTGTTATTTATTACAGTTTTGAAATCTGTTGTAGGTGATTGAAGTTTTGTAAGATGATTTTCTAAATGTGATTGTTCATCTATCAATCCTTGAACTTGTTTACGAAGATTATCTTCAAATAATTTATTCTTTTCCTTTAATTGTTGCACGCCAAGTTGTTTTCTTCTACATTGTTTATCGCATTTGACAGCTCCTTCACGAAATAATATTATATGCTTTGTTCGATGACCAGTTTCTAATGTTTCAGTTGGTATTCGACAAATACGAGTTCGAATTGGTCGATATTCAACAGAATGTGATACTTTCGTACCTAATTCTTTCTCATTTGAGGACGATAAAGTTAAAAAGTCATTTAAATATAAATAAGAAACGTCGTTGTCAAACATTTTAATATAACTTGTTTAAATAAATCGACGAAAAGGTTATAGATGAGGAAATATATTAGGTTATATAAGGAATGACGAATACCTTTATGCACACGTATATATATATATATTTATATATATATATATATGTTTGTGTGTATGTATATAAGGTAACCTTCGGAGTGTCATTGCAATCGTATCCTTGACAAATAAAGCATACCAAGATATCATAAACTAGTTTTAATATTTATTTAAGTCTATGCAAGCATTTTATCAAACTAGTCAAAGCTACATTACAAGCTACGAACACTGTCAGTGTAACGAAAAAATAGACTTCAGCCATATTTTTATTTATTAAGATAAAATCAATGAGTGATTAGTTTTTCAACCAATCATCACGTTATTATATGGTCATCGTATACTTCTACGACATATTAATCCTTTGTTTCATGATAAAAAATATACATAGGTGAAATGGCTTTTTTTGCACCGTACACTTTTGTGTGCTTTGGCACGTGTATTTAACATGTGCCTTAACACAATGATACTGTAGAAAGCCTCTGCTTGCTTTTTGACGTTTACTTTTACGCAATTGTATAGAAAAAAAATATGCATTGTAAGCGATTATATCAGTGTCGCATGACGACAAAGTTCATGGCGTATAAATGCGTCACCGGTCATCAAGCAATTTACTAAATGTTAACCTTGTTTTATAAGTTGAGATATATGTTTGTTTCAAATCGAGAATCTTTTTATTCTACTATTGTTATTTTATATTTCTGTTCTCTCTTTTTGTTTTGAATAAATATTTCATAAATGTGATTGCGTTCTTCATGTGCATGATATACAGCCTACATGACCTGAACAATTGATTTCATTTCATGATTCATTCATTCATGATAAAATAAGATTCTCTTATTACTAGAGACGTCATTTTGACACAGCAATCAACATTATTCCTGATATTCTAATATACAATTATTCATGTCAGGTTTTTCTTCAAAATAATGAAGACTCTACAGTATGAACAGAATTTCCATCTGATAAAAGAAATGTTTTGGAGTCCTGCTGAAATTTCTGATGGAATGTCAATAGAGTCAGCATTCTCTTTTGTCTACAAATTAGAAAACATAATAATATTTTATTTTCATTGATTTTTTTGATTTCGTCTTTCTTCGAATACAATCAAGAGCTCGAAGCATTCATTTAATCATTTTCACTTGTTTTTTGATTTATTCATTTAGAGAAAAATTGATAATAGTTTGAAGAATACGCAGAAAAGAAGAAAACAACCATACGAAATGGCAAAAAGGGTATCAAAAACAAAAAAAGAAGAAAAATGTAACTTTATTGGATTACTAACATATGTGGGTGCTTCGATGATATTTAAAAGCAAAAATAAACAAAGAAAACGATGTTTTATCACAATCCATTGTCTTTTTGTATCAAACTTCTTTTGTTGTTTGCTTTTTGCTTTATTGGTGTATTGTTATTGACACATGATCAGGTTTTACAATGGCATCTGAGTAAATAGATACGAGACTGATTCGCCATTATGCGTCCGACGGATCGCTTCCGAAAACATCATTGATACATCAATTACCTAAATATATAAAACAAAATTTCTTTTCTTTTTTATTCAATTCGAATTTCAGTGATAAAACATTAAAATTATACCATTAATCGATAAGATATCCCTCATTGTGAAAAGATTTTATTGCTTTTATGTATACACTCACAAAATAACATTAATTTTTCGTAGCTGAAAAACATTCTAACTATAAATAACAGAACTCTAACTAGGTCACCAAATCTACCAAACTGTATGGTTCTATAATAGGCATAGAGAGACTGGAAATAGTGTAGGCATGTCACAGGTCGAGTTGTTCTGCAAAATGTTGGACTGTTTGGATCTCTGGTAACTCAAAATAAAGATGTATTATTAATATCCGATATTTTCTTTAACAGTTATATATATTCATGCAAACATCTGTTTATCATAATTATCTTATTCAAATAACTATCAATATTAATAATATAACTCTTTTAATTTTGTCAAATAAATGAAAATTTTGTTTAACATTCTGGAATTAATATACATCAGTTATGATCTTAACGAGATCTATTATTATTAATTATGGAATTATTTCTTATTATCAGAATATTCGATTGCTAGAACCAAAGACCTTATTATAAAAATAATTGCGACGTTTCTTTTATCAAAATATATTTTTATACATATAATGGATGATAAATGAGTGAGAACAAAATGAGTATATATATAACTTCTATTTTTTCTCTAACTACGTAACAATAATAATGACTAATGTAAACATGAAAAGGAAATTTTAAGCGTTGAAATTCTTTAACTATGTAAAGAAAAACTCGTATATAGGGAACAATAAACATATGTAAGATTAAAATAAAAAATAAAATATTTTTCAAATTGAAATTCTCTATGTATATTCGAAAGAATCATGAATTAAGATATTTGTCATTTCTACCTGGATTTTATTTGAATTTTTCATATTTTCTTCTTGTGGAATTGTATTGGTAACAACAACAGCTTCGAATGGGGAATTATTTATTCTCGATATAGCCGGTCCACTAAAAATTCCATGAGTGCAAATAGCATAAACTTTACTTGCACCTGCACTTAATAATCTATATTAAATCATTATAGAAAAAAAAAAAAAAACAAGGATATATTAAAATAAAAAATAAAAATTCTTAGATTTTACTTTTGTGATGCACATTCAAATGTACCACACGTATCTAGAAAAAATAAAAAGTAGAGAGAAAAATAACTTCACGAATTCGTATTATAACATACCAGCCATATCATCAACTAAAATAGCGATACGTTTTGTGACATCACCAACAAGCACCATAGAATCGATTTCATTAGCTCTTTTTCGTTCTTTATGAATAAGTGCAAAATCAATATTCAATCGGTCAGCAATGGATGTCACACTGTACGAATTACAATATTCGTCAAAGAGAGAAAGAAAAAAAATTCATCTCAAATATACCGTTTAGCACCTAAAATTAGAAGATAAGTCATTTATTTATTTTTTCAACCAAAGATTTATCTTCTTACCTCCAGCATCAGGACTTACAATGACAGCATTTTTGAAATCTGGAATATGTAATGATATCCAACGAATGACAGCTGGTTCAGCAAATAGATTATCAACAGGAATATCAAAAAAACCCTATGGAAACAAAGAAATTTTTTTTTTTAACCCTTTACGGCCGGCTCCTAGAAGCCGTTAAGAAAAAAATTCTTATGATACATATTTTTTCTTGTTTCACCATGAGGATGATCATATTTAAATTTGAGGATTAAAGAATTGATTTATAACTAAATACCACGATGTTGCCTTTTGGCAACATCCGGCCGTAAGGGTACAAAAAGTTGAAAAAAGACAATTATTTTTCCTCGATGAAAGACCAATAATTTGCTGTTAGGTTCAGTCCAGACTGTGAAACAAAAGCATACTTTGTTCATCTGCCCATCTCTTAAAGCTCTAACGTGATATATATTCCCATAATACTAAAAAACCTTCCGAAATAGTGCAGATTTCATCTATTTTTCCTAGAGGAGCTCACAAGTTTAGCGAGATTCTAACAAGATTTACAGCACATCATAGTATTCATATTCAGGCTATTATAAAGCGTTACCAATCTTATTAAAATTTTACTAAATTTATGAGTTTCCCTAGGAAAATAGATGAAATTTGCACTATTTCCGAGATTTTTTTTAGTATTATGGGAATATATTTCACGTTAGGGTGGTAAGAGACGGGCAGATGAACAAAGTATGCTTTTGTTTCACAGTTTGGGCTAAAACTAGCAGCAGATTATTGGTCTTCCATCGAGGAAATATAATTGTCTTTTTTCAACTTTTTGTACCCTTACGGCCGGATGTTGCCAAAAGGCAACATTCTTGTACTGTGTTCTTCGAGTAAACTGAATGATTCATCTTATTGGCATAATAGATAATGGATCTGGAGAGGAAAATTAACCACTAGTTACTTCTCGCATCGAATGCTCAGACAAATGGAAAACGGATCGTTTCGACTCGAGGGCTATTTTGGGTGTTGGCGGGAGATTTCGTCTCTCTCGTCAACAATACCTTTCTTTTTTCTTGAAAAGGCATAGGTTTGCCCTAAAATACGTGTAATTAATTATCAGATCGCTTAAGGAACTATATCTCGTCACTTTAAAATAAATCCTAAGATGATATTGGCAAAATGTTGCCAAAAAGCAACATTCGGCCGTAAAGGGTTAAACATATTAATAGAAAAAAAGTGAATACCTGAATTTGAGATGCATGTAAATCCATTGTAATTATATGGTCAGCACCGGCGACACTCAACATATTCGCTACAAGTTTAGCTGAAATAGGTGCACGACTCTATTATTTTAAAAAATAAAAAACTTTTTTTGATTAATGGTTTTATTCTTTTCTTTCTTTTATATAAAAAAGGAAATGAAATAAATTCTCTCACTTTATCTTTTCGATCTTGTCTTGCATAAGGAAAACATGGAATGACAGCAGTAACTCGAGAAGCTGATGAGATTTTACATGCACTGATCATAATTAATAATTCCATTAAATTATCATTAATTTCACCACAACCACTTTGAACAATGAAAACATCTTCACCACGAACAGATTCATTGATTTCAACACTTTAATTAATAAGGTTTAAATTTGTTAGAAAAAGATTTTTTTTTTCTTACCTTGTTTCTCGATTGCTAAATTTTTTTGTTATAACTCTTCCTGGTTCTAAACCAAGTCGAGTACAAATTAATTTTGTCAATTCAGGATGAGATGAACCACCAAATACTTTTATATTAGGCATTCTTGGACACAATAGTGGACGATCTTCTAATATTAATTTTGATATTTGATTATATGATATTTGATTGAAATCAGGATTCTTTCTTAATTTTCGATAAGATTTTTCTTCATGAATTAATTGGTTACTATCTAAAAATATTGATAATAATAAAAAAAATAATCAACATCACCATAGAATATTCCATGAAAATAAAAGAATACAAAGCAGAAAAGGAAAAGGAGAAGTTCATGCATGGAATTCAAATGAAAATCCAATAAAAAGAAACAATAGGCATGTATTATACTCACTCGAAGATTGATAATCATATTTTTCCATCCTGTTACAAGATATTATTAGTAGCAGTAATTGCATAAGCAATGATCTTGACGGAGAGAAAAAAGAACGCGAGGGAAAAATAAATTTCTTTTGATCTCTACATTAATGAGATATGATTTTTTTTCATCTTACAAGAAAATTCAAATCTGTCATCTGATCATCTTAACACAAAACAAAAATCTAGAAAAGATCAAAAAAAGACCTACATAGTCTTGTCCATTTTTCCGAATATTCGATTATCGTATTTTCCTGCTATTTTATTATTTAGTAACAAAACCAATAGTACTCACCTCTTAATAATCGATAGTTGTTATTGTTATTTTCTTCTGGTTATATAAAATCTGTTACATTTCGACAAGAGAAAATAGATTGTACCACTCTATACATCAAGAGAAAATAATTGTTTCCATTTTTTGTCTTAGCGTACAAAATGCATTCGAACAGGAGAAAAACATTATCGACCATATTACACAACAAAAGTCATATTGACATATATATTTCTATATGATATCATAGTTAAAATAATAAAATATTATGTCGTTGTTTTCTACAGGCAATGATGCATACAACAACCAAGTAACTTAGTTATCGTACACTATATTCACAAGAACAAAAAGAAATAATTACGAGAAAAACATGTTTTGTGTTTCTCATCTTTCTTTTTCTTCAATCAATAGGAAAAATAAAACAAAAAATAGAAAGACATTTAACGATAAACTTGTTTGATTGGTATGTAACAGAGCTTCTTGATGTATTGACAAGAACCATGGAATTGGAGATAATTCGTTGGTTCAATTTTAAAAAAGAAATTATAATTAAAAAAAACAAAATTTCAAATAATCACCGTCGGTTATGAAATGTGATTGAAAATCTTTCGAATACTTCGTCGTCCTCTGTTAGAAAATGATCGATAGATGACGCTATTTAACATATTATCAATATCATTTTTTTAAATTGATATTGATATTTTTCAATTATTTTTCAAATAAAACTTGAAAAAATCATAACCATTTTATTTTAATAAATCAAATCCAATCATTAATCGAATGGATTAGTCACTCAAAAGAATAGGTGCGATTGTTTCTTAGCTCCGTTTTTTTTATTCACATATCTACGTTATTTTTATTCAATTTGTTTTTCAAAAATTGACTGTGCGATAATGCTTTATACAGATTTTAACTCATTACATAATCAAAGTTCGTCTCCAAAGAAAAACAATGACAACAATTTTACATTAATTTATTAAAGTTGATTCGTCGTTTTATAATCGTAATAAAAATTTTTATTTCTATTCTTTATAAAGATGTCTATGATATTCTGATAGATACAATAGCAACTTCACAACAACTACAACAACAATAAATGAATACAAATCAAATTGAAATAAATTCTAACGAAAAAACTCAAGAAACACAATTAACATCAAAAGAAAAACGTGCTATTTATATGTCTCAATTACGTGGTTCAATTGATTCTGAATATCGTCGTATTGAACGTGAAAATAATGCACGTGCTATGCGTAAAAAACGTTCAGAAAATCCATTATATCGGGAACATGAACGTCTTCAAAACCGTACGCATATGGCTGAAATACGTCGGAAAAATTCCGAATATCGACAGCAAGAACACATTAAAAATCGTCATCGTATGGCATCAAAACGTAGTTTACATTCGGAAACTTCATCAAGAACAAATAATGCAAAAAAATCAACATCTACTAATAACAATAATAATAATAATAATATCATAAATTCAATTTATCAAACATTAGAAAATAATTTACAATCCTCGCATATATCATTTATTCCATATCAAACAAATTTTGATTGTTATCAACAATTATCGAATAATACGAAACAACGAAGTGAATATGAACTTTTGCACCAAATCGATGAATATTGTCGTCAACACGATACTGGATCGAGTTCAGATAGTAATAGTCGTAGTGCTGATTCAACACCATCTTATTAAATAGAATATATGATATACATATATATGTATAAAGGGTGTTTCAGAAGTTCTGTAACGATTTGTATAATAAATTTTTCTTTAGTAAATCGCGCGGTTGAAAATTTGACTCTATAAAGAAAAGATGCAGTAAAAGACGCTCTACAAAATGGCTTTTGATTGACCCCGCTAGCTCATCTAGTAAGAAAGTTATAGGCTTAGAAAGGTGCTTCAGAAAAAAGAAAAATNCTCAACTTTTACAGACAAGTGTAATGCTTCCGTTCGAATGACGATCGAAACCTAATTCTGAACTTTAACAAGACATGTATGAGATAAGTTTAGCTGAATTAACACAGTTTTTATTGGGCGTTTTGGAAAATGAAATGTATACTTCGATTACAGAGATGAAACAGTGTAGACGAATAGAAGAAAATAAAACTGATAGTTTTTGAAACAAAAAATTAATCATTATGATAAGAGCACTCAAACTTGTTCTCAAAAAGTTTTATTAGAGAAAAAAATAACATATAAATTATTTTTCAATCAATGAACACAGACTGGACCAGTTAAAAATCTTCCATTGATCTTCAAAAATAAAAACTTGATAATGGTCAAACTTGTATTCTTTGTTATTAATGATATTGTATATTGACCAACGGGCAAAAAAATATATTTTTTAGTAGTTCTTAAAACTTTTAGTTTTTTTAATATAAATTTTGTTGGTTTTTTTAAGTTATTTCATAGGTAATTATGTTACACGGTTGTTAGATAGGAAAATATCATCATGTTATGATTGTGATAACCGTTTGTGTAATGGTACGAGAACTCGTTTTTCGTTCGATAAATAAGTTCTAAACAAAAAGGAAACGGCTAATGTATGAGTATCACTATCAACATAGAGTCACACGAAATCATCTTTAGAATCGATCAGAGTTGTTCTACTTCGGATAAATTCAATCTTAATGATATAAGAAGAGCCTATAATAATTATCATCCTTGAGAGTCAATTATTTTCACCTTCAAATTACATGAAAAAAAATCAAAGTTCTAATAGATTTAATATATATAGATATTCTTTTCTGCATGAAATGAAAATATGAAGATTATTTGAAAATGATCGGTATCCAAGAACATTATTTCTTTTTTTTTTTTGTTGTTTGAAATTTTTTTGTGTTTATTTTTTAAAATTTTGTTTCACTTCGACGAAGATGACGATTAAGAATTCATCAACTAACGATAATATTTATCATCTTGCCAATGCTAAAAGAAATGGATATTATGTATTGGGCAAAAATAATTCTCAACTTGTTCGAGATCAATTAGATCTTCTTGGTTTCAATCGATACGATTCTTTGCCTATTGGTGGTGTTAAATTCAATTGGATAACACGTGGTGCTGATATTGATTGGACAACATTTGATTCAAATTTTCAAATTCTTAATCATATTTATAATGAAAAACAATTGTCGAATAAAGGTTTACTATTAACTAATTTAAGAAATTATGAAATAAATATTCTAAAAAATAATCGTTTTAATGGAATAAATACTAATAAAATAAGATTAAAATCATTATCAAATATTGATAATTATTTATCGTTGAAAACATTTCTACCCGAAACATATTTACTTGATAATACAAATGATCGAATTACATTTAAAAAAAAATTCAAAGAAGGTTCAACATGGATTTGTAAACCTGTAGGACTTTCATGTGGACGAGAAGTATTTATCTTTCGTAGTGAACAACAACTTGAAAATATCTTAAATGAATATCATAAAAATACTCGAAATAATCATTATTGCACATTATATTATAATCGTCTTGTTCAAAAATATATTGAAAATCCATTACTTATTAATAAACATAAATTTGATATTCGCACATATTTATTATGTATTTGTATATCAAATGAAATTTTATGTTTTGCTGCACAAACGGGATATCTTCGTTTGTCTATGTATGAATATGATTTAGAAAATTTGAATAAATTTATTCATTTAACAAATCAAAGTATTCAAATAAAAAATAAAGATTTTTCATCAGTAAAACATAATACTGGTATGACAATGGAAGAATTTAATGAATATTTTAATGAATATATTCAACCAAATATGCCTTACATTAATAAAGATTGGGTATTGAATGAATTACCTGTAAGAAAATGAAAATGATAACGGGTGACCGGAAAGTTTTTAGACGAGATTTTAGTTCACTTTTGATCCTCTAGAACATATTTCTCACGAATCAAAAGCTATAATTTTTGTACTATGTTCGAATATGAACTCAGAAATTTTCTCGCACTTTTTATTCTAGAGTAATGAAATAATCTTTGAAGATCCTAAAACATTAGTTTGTAGTGAAACTTTTTGACGGAAGTTTTCGGTAAACATGTTTGTTCATTTTGGCTTGTTTGAAAGCATTTCAGATCAGTCAAAAACTACAAGTCTCGATCAGAATTTGAATATGAAATTAGAAATGTTATGTTTAGTTTTGTTCAAGAGTAATGAAGAAGTTTTCGAAAGACTTGAAAAAATATTTTTAATGATGAGCCAATAGGTTTCAGTTTACTCTATAAAATTGCTGGAGTCTGTTGTTTTGTACGATGGATACTTCTCTACAAAATATTACTTTGAACTGAGCTGTAGCTTTTACCTAATTGAAGTTACAATCATTTTTTCAACGTAAGACGATTGCTGATTTTTCAAAAATGAATATTTTGAAAAAACGAAAATTAAGTTACCATATCGAAAAACAATAAAACTTCAAATAGTGCATTATGTAGAGTAACTTTTAATCTACAAGTTAATATATGAATAAGGATCCCAACTTTTAGTTTCGAACTGCAATAGTCCAATTAAAAAAATTTTCATCCAAACTAATTCTATGATTTTTCAAAGATTATTTCCCTCCTGTCAAAGAAAAACTGAGATAAAGCTTCATAATTCATAGCTTTTGACTCGTCAAAACTACTTTATAGTGGATTAAACGTGAACTAACGTCTTGTCTAAAACCTGTCTGAACACCCGTTTAAATTTTGTAAAAAACAAAATGAATGATTTGTTTTGTTTAGGAAAAAATTACAAAAATTCTCAATCAAGTAGTTGATTCAGTTAGAAATAAACTATCGATACGTGAAGGATGTTTTGGTTTTTATGGAGTAGATATTTTAATTGATGAAGAACTAAATTGTTGGTTACTTGAAATTAATAGTGGACCTACATTAGATATGACCAATTCAGCACTGGAAAAAATTATTCCAATGTGTCTCAATGCAGCTATCAGTATATCAAAGTATTTTTATTTAACTTACACTTGGATTTAATCTATTTAACAGATATAGTGATTGAATCTTTGGATAATTATCGTTCATTAGGCTCAGCATTTCCTCTTCGCAGTTCAAACCTTTTTAAATATTTGTTACCATCAGATCATGTTGTACTATCACCTATTATGTCGAATTTTATTCCAAGTTTTACATCTCCAAATAGCTGTTGTATTGATTTAACACCAGGAGTACCTGTTTCATTTCATCGTTATCGTCAATTACCTTCACGTTCATCTTCAAAACCACTTAATCATCTTTCTAAACCTATTCTTGAAAAAAGAAAATCAACACTTATTAGAAATCAACGTCAATTGATCATTCATAATGTTACAACAAAAATCGATCGAGAACATTGGTCACATCAACTTACTGAATTCATTCACATGAATAATAAACCAATAACATTAAACAATAAATTACATGAACAAGATTCGATAATTCATTCAACTCTCAAATGAACACTACCTTAAATTGATAAGAATCAATTCATACTAATAAACACTAATTGTATGTTCTAATAACGAATATAAAATTTGAATTGTTACGTTTCATTTATTTTCAAAGAATCGAACAAAGAATAGCACTTTTATTTTATTTCGTTTTATGTCAAATGAAGCATTTTAAACGAGGAATAATTTTGTAAATCAATTGAATGACTATTTCTCAAAAATATCTACTAATCAATGTACATAAATAAAATGAAACGCAATGCCAAACTTAGAATAACAGAATAGCTGTATTTAAAACAGAACTCTCAATTACTCTTTAGTTAGGTGATTTTAATTAACTGATGGTATCTGTACGATTGAATACAATGAGAAGAAAACACGATATGAATAGCATAAAAACAAGGTTATTGTCGAGCAAAGATTCATGTTATCATACAAGGAAAGTCCCAATTGATTAATCACTTTTGGATCGAGAATATGTGCATCATCAAGATTCTAATGAGTTATGAATACCCTGAAAATTATTCGATTCTTACCTTGTTGCTACGGAAATATTGNTGAATTGTTACGTTTCATTTATTTTCAAAGAATCGAACAAAGAATAGCACTTTTATTTTATTTCGTTTTATGTCAAATGAAGCATTTTAAACGAGGAATAATATTGTAAATCAATTGAATGACTATTCCTCAAAAATATCTACTAATCAATGTACATAAATAAAATGAAATGCAATACCAAACTTAGAATAACAGAATAGCTTCCTTTAAAACAGAACTCTCAATTACTCTTTAGTTAGGTGATTTTAATTAACTGATTGTATCTGTACGATTGAATACAATGAGAAGAAAACACGAAATGAATAGCATAAAAACAAGGTTATTGTCGATTTTTCTATGTCTTATACAAGCGAGATCGTTAAAATTGATTGCAAATGATTGTTACTATTGAATTTCAAGAATATTTGAAATAGATTAAAGAAATTAAATAATAGAATCATTCAGAATGAAAAAAAATATTGTCATTAGAACTAACGAGGGACTTAAACTAATGAGTTATGAATATCCTGAAAAGTGTCCGAGCCTTTAGCTTATCGCAGCGAAAATATTACAATATTACTGTAGTTTTTAAGCCAAAGCCATGATCCCTTTTAGAAGCACCAAGAAAATTGATTCTTGAATTTCGACTTGAAACTTTGCACAGAGACAGACCTTAATGAGAATAGTTTATTGTGAAAATTTCAGATTTTTTTATTTGCTTCTATCCTGAAGCAAGATCATCGAATCTGTTAGTATATAAATGATGTAAGATACACACTTTCTACCATAGCTATATCTTAGCATAGAAACAACAAAAAGATTTCAATTTTTTGCAATAATTAACCTTATTAAGACTTGTCTCTGCGCAAAATTTCAATTTGAAATCTGAAAATCAGTTTTCTTGATAATTTCAAGGAACAGCACAGCATTAACTTAAAAAATATCGTAAAAATGCAATATTTCCGTAGCAACAAGGTAAGAATCGAATAATTTTCAGGGTATTCATAACTCATTAGAATCTTGATGATGCACATATTCTCGATCCAAAAGTGATTAATCAATTGGGACTTTCCTTGTATGATAACATGAATCTTTGCTCGACAAGTGCTTAATTTTGTGTTCCACTGGAGAATTCCATTAAGAATACTATTATGAAAGTTTTACTATAAATAAATATATTTGTCTCGAAATATTAAACTTTCAACAATTCACTTAGTCGTCAAAGAAAATCTACGATGCTTGAGATTTTTCTAAACTTCATATTTCGACCCAGGCATATTTACATATGTAGAAACCTTTAGAATATTCTAGTTTTAATTAGATCAAAATGTTTGAATTCATTTTATTTTTAAAAGAAACTTGGTAATAAGAAAATATTCAGTCAAATGACCAGATCTTAAGAATCTGATAAGTCATGTACCTGAGTTCTAGCACCAACAATCTAATCTGGATGTCGCCCATTTACGTTAAAAAAAACATGATCTTAACAATAGTGAACCATTTCTTCGGATAGTTTTACAAATCCATCTATGTACAATGATTCTTTGTCTCGAATTTTAGTTTGTTCTACTCCGATAAGCAAATATAACTGTGCATACATTAAAATTGTCAAATTTTAAGTGTAAAAAAGCAAATGAAATTCTATTGCATATTTTACATTTTTCAAAAGAACAAATTATTAACCTATCGTTTAATTTTTCGAAGTCTTATGACTTCAATAATGATACTAAATAATATCATTTTTAGAATCTCTTTTTACCTTTCTTACTTCATGACTAATCATTGCACAATTCTTCATTAATATAAAAATCAAGTCATTTCTATCTTGAAATGACTCATCTACCAAACATTGATGATGACGTGAGTATATGCTTCTATGGTAATCGTCGCGTTTTTCATGGCCGTCATATACATCAGTCTCAGTATATATATATATATATATGCTTATAACGTGTACATGATCATTACTTAATATCGTTTTTTAGAAACTATTCATGTCGACAAGTACAACATATATTACCGATCAACAACGCATATTTAATATATCAAATGAAAATAATAATTTTCAATCATTGGTCAATTTGTTTTCCATCAAGAAAGAAGAACATCGAAATTTTTCTTGTCTTGATCAAACTATTCGTCGATTAGATTTTGATTTTTATAATGATCTTCTTCCAACAATAGCTAAATGGGCTTCTGATCATACACAATCAAAATCAATTGAACCACTTCAAGCAGGTACAACAGCAACCATTGTATATACAGTCTCACAGGCACGTTATATTCTTGCAAATGCTTTTTTTCTTAATACAACATCAGGATATGGAAATATTAATTTGAATAATTTATATAATTCATTATTTGATGATTTAGCTGTTGCAAGAATACGCTGTTTAATTGAATATTTTCGTTTATCATCACAACAAAATGATAATCGACAAATTTCAATAGAACGATATTCATATAAAAATGAATTACCAGATTGGACTAAACAAAATATTCCAATAGACGCATCAAAAATGAATATATTTACTGGTCGAATGGAAGATGCTAATGAGGCACAAGGCTTTGTTGATTTTGCTAACAAACATATTCATATACATAGAATTATTCCATCGGCTACACAAGAAGAAGTTTTATGTAAATAAATTTTCATTTAATTACTTAAAATATTTTATATTTTTATTTTATTTTTTTAAGTTAGTTGTTGTCCAGAAGCATTTTTATCTATTCTTGTATGTGAAACATTACAAGATGATGAAATTGTTATTCTTCGTGGATGTAAACGATTTATTGATTATACTGGTTATGCAGATACATTTCGTTATAAGGGTCATTATCATGAACAAAATCCGGCATACATTCAAGATATTCTTGTTACGGATGCGTGTTATAATGGTCAATTTCAACGAAATACTATTGATCGAGATTTAGACAAAGCATGGGCAGCATTTTATAAATCAAAAGATGAAATTATTGTTACTGGAAATTGGGGATGCGGAGTGTTTGGTGGTGATTTAACATTTAAATTTTTGCAACAATTATGTGCAGCAATGATACTTGGAGATCATTTTAAAAGATTAGACTATTCAGTTTATGATGATGAGATATTAGCATCAAAACTCAAACATTTATTGGAAAATTTGGAGAAAAATAAAAGGACAGTTGCTGATATTTACCAAATGATGATCAACTATAGTCAAACTAGTGAGTTATCTGCATCACGACCAAAATTTAGTGACTATTGTGAAAAATGGCTGAATACTTCGTAACATGGATTGAAAATTGCTTATATTTTGTTGTTTACTAATCATGATATATTGTAAAAATTTTCTAAATAAACAATAAGTGTAAGCAAATTTTTAAATTAATCTTGAAATTTAAGAATAAAATAGTCAACATTGCTCGGTAAAACAAAATCTTGCATTTTTCTTACTTTTCGTCCCATTTACATTTCATCTCATAGATTTACAAAGATCAATCTCAATAGTGATTCAAAACTACGTAGTATTCTATAAACATTTATCATTGTCTTCAGTGAACAATCGCGATTTATTAAGATCAATAGAAAATGTACAGTTATCATTTCTACATTCTACACATTTATTAAAATTGTTCCTCTATTTTTCACTTGATCAAGTGCATTGATTGTTGTTATTGTATGAAACAGTTTCGGTCGTTACAAAGAAATATACGTTTTTTTTCTGTGATCTTATGTTGAGTATACAAATTCCGCCCCCCCCCCCCCCCCCCCCCCCCCCCCCCCCCCCACCCCCTCCCCCCCCCTTCACCGTCTCCCTCTCTTCTTCTTTTTTTTTTTTCTTTTTTTGTTTTTTTCTTTCTGCGTTCTTGTAGATGCTNTTTTTAACGCTGATTCCGAATCTGATATTAGTTTTGAATCAAATTGTAGCTTTCTAACAAAAAATCCCCCGAAAAAGGCTCAAAATGCATAAAAACTACAGTTGAGAAAGCAAATAGGGTAGATATTGTCTCAGATGATAAAAAACAAAGTGAATATACCTGTTCACTTTTTGAAGTACACATAACACTCGGATTTAAATCCGATGTTTTCGCATTTATTTTCTTTTTTTTCCAATTTGACAAAAATTTTCTACATATTAATTTTTCTAAGTTTCTAATTTTTTTAATTTTTTAAAATTTTTTCTAACTTTTCTAATTTTTATTTTTTTTTATTTATTAAATTTTAAATCTAACATACACATTTATTGATCCAAGATAAGTCCAAAAATGATTGTCAGTAAGTACTACTGGCAGGATGAGATAAAAAACCTAGTGTGTAAGCTCAAAATTGTTTGTTCTACTACATGACAACTATTGAAAATAGTTAAGCTCGATAGAAAATAAAATGTCGTTTCTTGAAAAAGCAACTAGAAAGCTAACACAATATGTATAAACGAATTCTGGTAAGAAAAATCGGTCACAGTGCTTACTTAAGTTTCTTTTACAGCATATTTTTTTTTACAAAACTAAACAAAACTTCAAATTAAAAGTGTAAAAACTCGTATCTTTATTGTGACTATCAATTCCTGTTTTGTTGGACTTATTTTAGAAGAATATTTTATGAAATGTTTTCTGTAAAGATAATACTTGTAAAAAAAGTCAATTTATGTTAATGATTTCATTTAAAATCAATTCACAAGTTTTCAAACAAAAACAAATTCTTTTCACAATCAAAATTATTATATGCTTACTAAATTTTCAGATCATTCCATATTTTTTACAAACTAATTTGATAATGTTGTTTGAATACGCGTGAACTACCGTATTTCTAAAAAGAGAATGAATAGATCTAATTTCGTTTGTATTGACAGTTGATCCTGGATAATTACAATGGAATTATTTTAATTTTTGTGGTATAGATATAAGTAAAGCAGCTACGTTAGCAAAATCAATCGAAATAGTTTTGTTGTAAATCTCTAAATATAAACAATGTGACTTTAGGCTAAGTAAATAAGAAATATCATTTTAAATTAAACGCCAAAATGCAATTCGTACCGACACAAGATTTTTTTACATTTATTGGTGTAATCCAACTTGAACGATATTCATAAAGCATATCTATATATAAATATTTAAGAGAACGAACAAGTACTAAAAGTTAACTGAGTATCATTCGTGAACATGTGATACCAAATAGTATGCAAAGATTATGATTAGTTTTCCATGTTGTTATTAATTTGGAAAGAGGAGAAAACAAAAATAGTTACAAGAACAAAGATACTGCCATCGTTGTTGTTCTTTACCAAATAAACAATCAAAGATAATCTAGATAAAAATAATATTATAATAAAGAAAATTGTTGATAGTCTCTTTTGTAAAAATATTTATTACAGTAACAGGAAAAACGAGATATTCAAGCATTGATAATAATATTGATTGAATTGAATTGGGTTGTGATTCAGTTGATTCAATCATTGTTAATGAACATAATCGTAAAAACCGAATAAGTTTAATCGATCACAATTCGTTGCAAAGTAATGAGCTAGCATTAAAATTTGTTTTTTTTTCTCGAAAAATATTAATACTCAAACAAATGGGTTCAAGAATTATGTAAAACCTTTAATTAAGTTCAGCAAAGGCATGATATATATCATTTGGTGATGAAATATATTGCATTATAATAGTTATTACCTCATTAGGAAGATTTTCGAGCTTAGTGGTCATTATTTTTTTAAAACCTTATTTCCGCAAATAAATAATATTAAACAAAAGAAAATATTCAATTTATAAGATTTATTATATGATTACAATAATTCAAGATATCTCACTATTTAATGAAATTTTTAGATAAATTAATGTTGATCACATAAGATACAGAAATTGAAAAGAAAAACAAACACTTATTCGATAAACATAACTACTTTTATTGAAAAACCTTAATTCGATGCTATATGAAGACAACGTTTCTATCGAAGCCACGAATTGTTTTCAATTGATTTATTTTGCTCAATTAGAAATACGCCGATCACTTCACTTCTGTTCTGTGACTCAAAGTAACGCATGTGTTTTAAGAACCATGAAAAAAATATATTGGTTGATGTTTACAAGTAATAAACAATTAAAGAAAAATCAAACATAATGACATTCAAGTTTTTGTCACATGTCACCTGTCAGTATATTTTTTTGCGACTATTTTTTTATGAATGAGATATGAGATAACAACCAAGTTAGACAGCTAAGGCTCGTTTTTTTTGCTGAATAATATCAATAGTTTTTTTAAGTGCATGTTATCTTGAAATTGTAAGTGATGAAACCTTTTTTTTTGTTTTCTTAAGATTAGACTTTGGTACAATCCTTTAAATCCGTTGATAGTTGCTGACCATTTCTTTTCATGTTACAATATGCATTTATGGGATTTAATAGATGCGACAGAATAAATGGTTGATCAGTATTTTGTTGATGTATCGGTCTATTTGAATCGTTTAGGCTTTATTTTTTTTTTCGAAAGATACCCCGTAGAATTCTGCACAAAATAGTATAACTTATTCAACTAATACATTTTTCTTTCTTTCTACAACACAACTTTTTTTTGGCACCATGATTATGCATAGCTTTCTAAATCTTAGTGTTTTCTACTTTGTTTTTCAAAAACCATTTTTTTCTTAAAACGTGGTGGCTTTCGTTATGGCGCGTTGACAGCTCATTGTGGTGGTTAATCCATTCTAAATAATAGCTAATAGCATACTAGTAATGCTAATGACATGTAAATAAGTCATTAAGAAAACCAAAATGCTTGACGAATAGGAATGCTTTTTGAAAACAAAATAGGACCCATGTAAAAAGTTTTACCCAAAAAAGTGACTGTTAAGTACTTTCAATAGTATGTTTTAAGCAGGACAAAGTACTTATAGGTGAACCTTTTTAAGTACTTTTCATCCTTTTTGACTAAAACGTACTGTTAAGTGCTTTTGAATGTAAGAAAAGTATGAGAATGTACTATAGAAAGTGGAAAAATTATCAAAAAGTACTATAAAAAGTGACTTTTGGTTCACTTTTCTTTTACATGGGGGAACAAAGTTCAGTCTTAGAAAGTTGTGCATAATCTTAGTGCTCAAAAACGTCATGTTCTAGAAGAAAAGAAAAATGCAATGATGGAATAAGTTATACTGATTTGTGCAGAATATTACGACAAATCTTTTGGAAAAAAATAAAGCCTAAACGATAAAAATAGACCGAGACATTAATCAAATACTGATCAGTCATTAATTCTGCTGTGTGTGTTAATTTAAATATAAATCAATAAAATGCATTAAAATCTCATTAGTAGATGGACATTTGTTGTCAAAACTGATCTATGAGAATTACTCTTCTTATTCTTCCTCATTCAAAATTTCTTCTTTGTACGTAATTCAATTACGTTGATATTTTAAGTTTTAATTGTAGGAATTTTATTTATAAATTCAAAAATCATTTCACATATAAAATTCTGTATATATACATATTTTTATATAAGTATTCGTGTCATATTGCTTTGTGTAAAGGCTTTTCCTTCCTGCAAAAAACACTTCAATTCGTTTGCATTTATATGAGTGTCTTATCAAAATAAATTGCCTGGACAAAAATACCTTACATAACTATGTGTTAAACGCTACAAAAGCTGAGTATACACGTGACACGACTATAGCTAAACGATGTAACCAACGCTTTCCTTCTAACGGTTTCTACAGCTATATCTAACATATTCATGTTTATTGACGCGCTTTTGAAATTTTGTGACTGATTAAACTGTTAAATATATCTATATATATGCATATGAAAATTCTTCTATACTAGAAAAACAAAATGAAAAAGAATAAAAACATCAACCATTCTTGTTCGATATAATTATTCAAATTGTTCAGTTAGAAAAAAATTGATTTTGAGTAAAGAATATCGAATTTTATTAAGATTTCATTAAATAATTAATAAGTAATAATAAATTTGATTTAAAACGTTTAATAGATTTTATTAGTATTTATTTATTTTGTCGTTTAATTAAAAATAATCCTGAATCTATTTCATCAATACTAAATTTTCATGTAACTTTGATTTATCTTTCATATATTTTTCATGCGTATGAAAAACAAATCATTCGAATGCTATTGTTTTTATTTACTTTGTTGCATCTACTAGGATAACAGTATCGATTAAATTTTCGAGGTGGGTGTATTTTCTATTGGTATACATTGTAATAATAAGGAAAAACAAAAAAGAAGGAGAAGATGAAGAACAATAATACATTTGCCTGAGTCACACAATACGCACTCTAACATTATATTGCTTCTCATTATTTTTTATTCGCAATTTTTAGTTATTTTAAGCAAGATGTCGAAATTAGTATTATCATATTTATTCAAAACAAATTTAGCAGAATTTCGTTCGGCTATATTGGATGATAATACTGATAGAATTTGTCGTATTTTGGATATTGAACGTGATTGTCTTAACAAACAAATAGATAGTGATGGAAATACAGCTCTTTTATTAGCAATCAAATATGCAACACCGTTAACTATTCGTTTATTACTTGAACAAGGTGCTCGACCTGATGAATCAAATCTAATTACATTTCAAACACCGCTTGCTTTAGTAGCTTCTAAAGTGTATCAAGATTATCACTCACATAATGCAAAAAGAAAACTTGAAATGGCTGAAATTCTCTTAGAATATGGGGCTTATGTAGATAAACCTGCACCACATCATTATAAAGATGAAGATGGTCAAGAGTATTCAGTCAAAGAAACACCGTTAATGACAGCTGTAAGACAAGGAAATTTACCATTGGCAAAATTATTAATTAAAAAAAAAGCAAATGTTCATTATATTCAAAGACATTCAGGAATGCGAGCGTATGAATTTTATTTTATGATTAATTTTATTTTTTATCAATAAAATTTTTACGTTTTATTTAGTATTCATTATGCAATAACAAATGGAAATGAAGCTATGTTTGATTTATTAGAAAATGTTGGTGCTGTATGTAATCCTTTAGTGACAAATGGCGGAAACACTTTATTACATTGGTTTTGTTATAAAAAAGAAAATGATGAACATACATCTTTATTAAATAAATTAATTGAAAAATCATGTAATATCAATGCGAAAAATTCTAATGGACGGACTCCATTAATGTTAGCTGTTAAATGTAATATGACAAATACATGTCGTATACTTTTGAAAAATGAAGTTGATATTGAGGAATTTGATTGTAATGGTAATAAAGCTATTGATTTATCAATACCAGGTAGTGCATGCTCAAGTTTACTTCTTCAAAAAGCAAATCATCAAAAATCTAAATCAAATATACAGAATAGTCAATCTATTGAATCAAAGTCTAAAATCGTTTATAAACGACAGCTTAGTAATGGACGTCGATCTGCTGTTGAATTTAGTGATATTAATTCTGATGAAACAAAAGATCAGTCTACTCCGCCTAAATCTCCTAATGGAGGAGGAAAAAAAATTCCACCACCTCATCCACATGTTTGTCATGTTCAACGATTAAATAGTGCAGAAATAGATGTCAAGCATGAACATATATGGGGAAAATTACTACAAAAACGTCACAAACGACAAGATCCAAGTAAGTTATCCAGACAACAAACATATCCTATTGATGTGAAATATAAGTTGTAATCGTAACTTTCAATTTTCAATCGTTTTTTTTTTGTATTAATACACAGCAATATGTAATTATTTTTTTTCATTAATATTTAAAACATCTATTTTGTGATCATTTAATTTTCAGCAGAAATAAATAATGCAGTTCAAATTTTATTTAATTAATAATAATATTAGTTATGTGAATGAATCGCAATTGGAATATTGATCATACTCAAAAAAAAAAAAAATTTTTTTCTTAGTTGCGGAAAACAATTCAACTTTTATTAAAATGCTTTGTTTAATAATTTCTCCTGAAAAGAATTTTTACTATTTAATCACCATACTTGAATATTTGCTAGAGGATATTATTGACTATGTAACGATATAATATTACTTAATAAATCATCGAACTGTATCTATGCAAAAGCTGAAAGAAAATATGTATGAAATAAGAATTTCAAATTGATGCATTTGATATAGATGACAGTGGATTTATATAGGTATCTTGCATGGGTACAAGTGTTCGCAACCAAACACAGACAGAAGCTAATCAATATTCAGCAGATACTTTCACAGTCACAGCATGGTTTTCAAACTTTTATTTAATATGAAAAATTAATTATACTATATATTTTCTTCCATAAACAGCAAAGAAGAAACGATGAGATCACGGCAGATTCCACAATAAAAGCAAGTGATTAAGGATTCACTTGATGTCTTACTACTTGTGAAAGCTGATCAATTTCGCTAAGTATATGTTTGCTGGTTACTGATGACGTTGGAATGAAACGAAACGTTAGTGCCAAACATAATAATTGTGGATAAATCAATGTTCGATTCCGATGGGATCAGCTGCAATTGACCTGAGGCAGGTTACAAAAATTTGACCTATGTTGGACACTGAGATGTCTACATGAATGCCTTTTTTCATCACGATAATATATATTTACCTTTTTGGCAATTCAATCTTGCTTTTCACTTCTCTGATCTGTTTTTGAGGACAATAAATTGCTCAACCATAATCAAACTAGTTTTCACTTCTGTACTTTTATAGAAATTAGCCATCTTGAAAAAGTAAAAATATTTTGAAAGGTCGAGATCTCATTAATTACTGGATCATATTCAGATATGATCTCATGTTGGACACTTGTCCCGATTGTAGAACATTGATTTATACTGAAAAGTAGTATCTTCAATGTCTATCAAGCACTCAAACCATCAAGTTCAGAAGTAATGTTCTCAATATTTCTGTTCAATTAAATTTATTCAATGTTATCGTTTTCTCCTATATTCATATCAACATCTTCTTTTTTTTGTCGACTTCTACGTAATTCTTAGAGAACGTCCCAGGATCTATGAGTAACTATACTTCATTTCCTGTGACCATCTTACATGATAGTGATCATGCTCAACAACATCGTTTATAAATATTCAGTTTGCAAGTCAATCTCCATATCTTTCATAAATACGTAGATAAAAACAGTGAACTAAATTTCTATTGGCTAACAATAATTTAAACAAGAAAAATGTAAAATATGCGCCCTTGTGATATAACAATGCATGATAAGACAATTGTTACATACGCATAAAATGAGTCATCACTTCTATTTGTTAATATTTGTCTTCATTTAAAATAGGACTAATTATAGCAGATCATAGTCTTTATATGGTCGCACAGTTAATACATAATAAATATCGTTTATTACGTACAAGAAAATACAAAAGTGAAAAAAATCAAAATGCCAACCTGTATGTGCGACCAAAGAAATAGTCATTTTGAACTAAAGGTTAAATAGTATTTATTTAAACAAGAGATGGAATAGTCCCCGATTCGATTCCACTTCATTTCAGTCTTATTTGACGATCTTATTTTAGTCGATGTTAATTTATTCTCAATTCGGCTCCTTTCTAGTTCGATCATATGTTATCGAATTAAAAAGACATAATAAGCCCTCTCTTATCTTCACAATTAGGTATTTCAAAAAATTAATTTTTGAATGAATTCTTTAGTTGAGCAAAACTCCTGTAATAATCCAGCTTAAACTCAATGACTCATATCAACGATCATTGTTAAGAGACATGTATTGAATACGAAAAGTGCACAACAATTGATATGCAATTCAGAACTACACATAGTAGTGCACTTATACTAATTTGTCAAGATTTAAAAATTAGAAATTCAATCCAACAAAGTCGTGAAAACGAGATTTGTCAAGGAGTAAAAACAAGTAACTTAATCTTTTTTCATTATATACAAGTTATTCTCTTCTATATTAAATATAATTATGAATCACTGTAATTATTAATATTAGAATCCAACTGAGAAGTCGTCGAATGGAATCAACTCGGCAGTAAAATAAGAAATCATTATTCTAAATAAGAACGAAAATGTTAATTGACTTTTATTTAAGAATATCTATTAGCGTAATCCATGTAGGATTAAAATGCGAAACATGATATAGTTGCTCTTGCTAATCCTAGGAAGATTGCTTTATTTTATGTATTTTCGAACACATATCTTCATCATATTATTACTTAACCCTCTAGTAATATAATCAGGAAGTAGTTCATATATTGAACCAAGGCATTATTTATATACGACTTTTGATAGTACACCAACAACTTCTGTTACGATCTGTGAAAGGAAGAGGGTAAAGAAAGTGAGTTCAAATTTTTATCCTATACACTTCAATACTCCTCTTATATTATGTTTCACAAAATAGTTATTAATCATTAATAGCAGAGATGGAACCAGTCTGATCGGTAAACACTGTTCTACAGGTAACTATCTAGCAGGTTTACATACTGAAATTTTATTTTAAAGTGAACTCATGTAAATAACTAACATATATCATATATCTCGGAAATTTGAATGATTCTTTGAAAATGTTCAATAGACAATCTTTCATTAACAACTAACAGTATAATAGAATATTGAGATATTGTATTAGATGTCATTAGTAGAGATAGCACTGTCTTGTTGTTTTGACGACCGGTGCCAGTTCCATCTCTGATAAATAGATTCAACCAATTGAATTATTCATTGATTAATATAATTAAAAACTTTAGTTTTCAATACATTCTTATAGAAGTATTCTATAAGTTTTTTTTTGTTTTTTTATTAATCTAAAATGGTCTTTTCCAATAGTCTTTTAAAGCATCTTCATCACGAATTTTCTTTCGTAAATCTTCAAGTTCATCAATTTTATATCTTGTATATTTTCCACGAAGATGTTCTGGTAATACTTTTCTTCCTGGACATGACATTTGTCCATAAACTAAACACATACAATAATGTGCACAATCTTTTCCAAAATTTGCTGGATTTTCTAATCGTGCTGTTAATTCGGAATCAATACGCTGTTGTAAATCACTTTTTCCCATAACACGTCGAATATAATCATGAATTTCATTTGATGTCTTTTTATAACAATCCATATGAACAATTTCATAATTATTATCTAAATTTGTTTCATTATCAATATCATCCGATGATGAACGAGATAAATAAAATGATACAAATGGTGTTGGTGTTGTATTTTTAAATTGAACACATTGAACATTTGGATTTTTATATTGAATTTGTGCTAAATGCCAAAATATAAAACGACGTAGACCATCTGAATCGGGTTTATCAAGTGTATAATTCAAAGTAAATATTCGTACTATCGGACGAAATATTATTTTTCCTGATTCAAGGTAAGCAAGTGTATTACGCCATGGGGCAGCACCCCGCATAAACATTGGAGCTGGCATCTATAAAGATATACATTGTAATAAATGGTATGATGTATTTTTATTTTCATCGATTCAATGCATAAGTATCTCTATTTTGTCCAATAAACACACACATACACACATATAATAGACAAAGGAAAATTACACATAAAAGAAAAAAAGGGCGATAATTGCAGCTTATCACATACAAACAATGCTTAAAATAAATAGAATCATTGAAATAAGTTAAAAGGAAATGGAATGACAAGAAAAAAAAGAAATTTAAAAAAGAGCATCTTCATCATGTTCTTGATCTATAAGATTTGGTGGATCTTCTTCTTTGCCAGTTAGAGCACCACTTTCAATTAATTTAACTCGATTTTTTTCTTGAAGAGCTCGTGCTTGTTTTTTCTTCTCTTGAACTTTTTTAAGACTAAATAAATGAAAGAAAAATAATTTATAGGTAATAGAAAAAAAGATACATCAAGTTTTGTTTCTTTTTTTTTACCGATAAAATTCTTCACGTTCCATTTCATCAAGTTCTGATACAATATAGTTTATTGTTCGACTTATTTTTGGTATAATAACTAAAAAAAAAAAACAAAAGATTTTTGTTTTTCTTATTTTAATTAAAATTAAACAAAACCATGTTCAATAGCATTAACACGTCGATTAGTTATTTTAATAACATCATCAAGTAGAACAAATGATGTTTGAAGTGTAGCTAATTCAATTAAGATTTTTATTGCTTCACCATAATTGCGTTTTAATTTTTGTAATTGCATACCACCTCGACCCAAACCAGTTAATTCAAAAGCTAAAAGAAAAAATTATTCAGTATGAATTTAATGATTAGAAGAGAAAGATTAACTTACTATCTCCTCCATCATTGAATGATTCAAATGAAGGCAATACTACACCTAAACAAAGAAAATAATAAATTAGATTATAATAATTAACCATAATACTGAAAATTAGTTCTCAACTAGAAAATATCAAATCGCTACGAAACCAAGAATTGAATAGATTTTGTTTATTCAATATTTTTGTTTTTGTTTCAAAAAACAAGTTTAATAATTATATGAAATTACGAATACTGTTCGTTATGTATATTCAAAATTTTCTATAGCTTGTTTCAAACTTTCATAAATAAACTAATTTATATCAATCGATGATATTTACTGAAGGTATATTTTTTTAATAAAGTTATTACATGTTTGTTTTTAGTTTTTCATAAGAAATGAAGGTCATAATATCAAGATATCGACATGATAAAGGATATCCTTGAATGGTTCTTTTGTTTTGGTACATTTGTGAATGTGTTTATATTATCAATTTTAGCATAAGATAAATGTGAGCATTATATATAACTTACGAGGGAACATTCCCAGGTGTTGGAGTGATTTTTCGTCGGGACTTTGCGCATCTTGTAGGTCTTGATGAATTATGTCTACCGGAAAAAAAGTTCGTGCCCCTAGCTTGTTCCTAGTGAGATATCGAGGTTTTAGTGAACTTTTCCTATAAAACCCCACATTTGCAGTAAGGTCATATTTTTGAATTTTGATCTGAAACTTTGCCCACAGAAACACCTCAGCTAGACTAGTTTGCATAAAAATTTCAGAACTTTTGAACAAAGTCTCTTCGAGATATGAAGCTTTCAAAAAATGCATCCTTTATACGCTATCTATGGAAAACGACTTATACGTTGAAAGCTTCATATCTCGGAGAGACTTTGTTCAAAAGTTCTGAAATTTTTTATGCAAACTAGTCTAGCTGAGGTGTTTATGTGGGCAAAGTTTCAGATCAAAATTCAAAAATATGACCTTACTGCAAATGTGGGGTCTTATAGGAAAAGTTCACTAAAACCTCGATATCTCACTAGGAACAAGCTAGGGGCACGAACTTTCTTTCCGGTAGACATAATTCATCAAGGCCTACAAGATGCGTAAAGTTCCGACTAAAAATCTCTCCAACACCTGGGAATGTTCCCTCGTTAGTAGTGGATTCTTTGTATTTAACTATTGAATATTGATGATAATCGTGTTGATATTGAAGACAAAATTCAAAAGAAACATTTTCATTTATGTAAATAAAAAGTGATCAATGAAGGATGATTCTAGTTGAATCGATTATGACAATGATAATCTTGTAATAAATTCTGTATTATTAGGAATTTGATTAGATTATCATCGAAGTTTTCTAAATTACTACTGAAGATAAAAAAGCTATAATGGAATCTTTAAAATCTACTCGTGCATTAATGGGTTTATTCTTTGAATTGACAATAGACTAAATTAGATAGGACGTTCAGTATATTAGTGTAATGGAGTCAGAAAAAAATTTGTAGAAGAGCTCAACTCCTATTTGAAACTGAAAAGCACGTATTTTCTTCGCCTATAATATAGTAGCGTCCCATTTCTAAACGAAAGTCAAAGATCCGAATAGTAGAGAGAACTGAGTTCTCTACAACAATCCACTGACTCTGTCACTACTATATAAGAAAAATCAGCTAGAAAATACTACTCGTCAAATGTATCAGACCAACTTATTTTTGTTTCTTTTTCTACGATACCATGCATTTAACTCAAATTTCAATAGGGGTTTCAATATCCAATGAAGTTATTCATTAGATGAAGACAATACCGAAATTTCATAAATGGATTATAAGAGAAAGGTTTCTCAAACGTTAAAAACAGTAGTTTTCGAGTAACAGAACATTGCACGATTTATTTCTTCAGAATACCATCATATAGAGAACAAAATCCTGAATGAAAATGAGAGTTGTTGCATTTCTGACGGCATTCTCTTACAAAGTTATAAGCATCACAAGAAATTTACAAAAAAAAAAGCGACATTTATTCTGCTATTGCTAACAATCTATTTTAAAACATTTTTATGATGCTTACAACCTTTTAAAGAAAGACTACAGAAAATGCAGTAATCTCTCATTTTATTCCGGATTTTGTGCTCTGCAATATAATACTCTTAAAAACCAAATCTTACACAGTCGTCTAGGATCTGAAAATTGCCATCTTTGGTTACCAGAAATTTCCCTTTCGTATTTCATTTATGAAATTTCAATGTAGAATGTATTTAATAGAAACTTTCATTAGTTATTCAAATCAATATTTGGAATTGAATTTAATACTTGATATCGTAGGAAAAAAAAACAAAAATACGTTGGTTTTATATTTATAACGAGTACTGCATATTTCGCGAAAAAAAGCAATGGTTTAACTTACCGGCAACATTATCTCGTTTCGTTCGAATTTTAATTTGTGCTTTACTAACACTCTGAATAACAACTTGAGTGAAATCTCCACTCATTGAAAATTTAGCTTCAGCTAATGAAAAAGCTGCTGTTTTCATAACATCACCCATTAATAATTTTGTCTAAAATTTATTAAATAAAATTGTTTTATGTCTATGAATTTGTTATACTTCTTACATCAATAATTTTTTTCAATATTGATCGAAAACGAATTGCTAATGCATCTGCTTTCTTCTTTAATAAATTATGACCTGTTTGAGCACCTTTCAAACGTCCTTTCATAACTGCCTGAGCCCTTTAAACAAAAACAAAAAAATTTTAAAATTTAGAAAGGATTCAATTCATTAATAAAATAAAGCTTACATTCGTGATGGAAATATATTATATCGATCTTTATCGGACATTGTCAAAAAATATACTAAGTAAAAAACAATATCTGCAAAGATATAAATTAATAATATATTATTTCTTTATTTCTTTATTATTATTATTCAGACACTCGATATTTTATTTTTCGTTTGAAAAGAAAAGAATTCACAAATCACTCAAAAGCAATACAAATAGAAAACAACGATGACAAAAAAAAAAAAAGAACCAGAGAAATCCATGTATACCAAATTGGTTAACTACCGAAAATAATTTGTAGTAAAAATTCTATTCGTCAGCTGTGGCCAATGGTGATCCACTGAAAAGAAGACAAAAACGAACGAATAAATTAAAGAGAAAAGCTAAAGTTTATTTTTACTCATAAGCATTATTGTCATCTGTCCTAACAGCTGAAGGTGAACCAGTGTCATCAACATCAGGACTTGGACTACGTGATGGACTTCGTCTAAATAATCAATAAATATTATTTTAACAAAAAAATAAATCTATATTTTACTTTTTCTTATCATTTGTTGATTCTTTTGGTGGTGTTGAACGCGATCGAGAACGTGAAGCAGATCGAGGTGTTTTAGATTTTCGTTCGCTTTTACGTTCAACGTCATTTCCATTTTTTTCATTACTTTTACGACTCGAGCGTCTACGATCACGTGGTGAAGCACTTCGACGACGATTATGATCTTTAAAAAAAAAACAAGTAAAAGTAACGAATACCGCCGGATAAGATCGTAAATTTGTCATCGTCTTAGATCTCACTTCCTACGGGATAAAAAGATAGAGCATAAAATTCTGCATCATTATGTCTAGTTTTGTTTCGTTGAATGCAAAAACAATTTTCTTGAGAAGTAAAATAGTCCGAAGGATCAATCAGTTTTGAGTATTTTCAATAATAATGATGGTAACCATAATTTTCTATTTTACAAACTCAATTCGAAAGCTAATTGTGTAGATGTAGTTTTCATGCTCTACAAAATGACATATTGATTATGTTCATCAACTAGTTTATATCAGATTATATCTGTATGACCCTGTGTAAACAAATCAATGAATATGATTGATATGCCATTTTGTAAAGCATGAACAACTATGTTTATCTACATTATTAGTTTCTATATTAAATATACAAAAGAAAAACTTATGATTAGCATTTTTATTACTCGAAGCATTCAAAAGTGATAGACCTCTTCCCTCTAAGACTATTTAGTATACGAAAAAGGTATTTTGCATTCTGCGAAGAAAAAAACAAGATAAATACATAGAAATGTGCAGAACTTTGAGGTTTGTCTTTCTATTCCATTGAAAGTGAGATCTAAGGAAGTGTCAGATTTACGATTTGATCCGGTGGTATCTTTCCGAAATAAGAAACAAAATCAATACCTCGTGAACGTGATCGACTGTTTCGGCGTCTTCGATGACGTGAATCACTTCGAGAACGGCTTCTGTTAAATTAAATAAATGAAACGAGAAAAAGAAAGTAATAAGACAAATAATTGACAATTGAAAACTTTCCATCAATATTCGTCTTGACCGAGCATCATGGCCCACAAGCCGAAAAGAAGATCCATACAAATGTAAACAACTTTTTCCTGATCTGTTTTTTTTTTGCTTCAAAACCAAAGAAAAAAAAATTTGTCCGACTGATACAAATCACTAGAGTGAAAAGTCACAGCCGATGCCAATAGTCATATTTGTATGTGACTGAAAAGACCAACAGATCATCAGTTTCTTATCAATATATAACACCCGATTCATCAAAGACCATTCGAGAATGCGCGAAGCTACTAGAATCAAAATTAATTGGAGAAAAAAAAAAGAAATTAGTTTCAAACGAAAAGATTTTCATTAAAAAATGTTTTGTTTTTATACTAAGATCAAAGCTTCAAATTTTATCACGCATTAAATGACATAAAACTGGGGATTACACAATCACAGAAATTTAACTTAAGTAAAAGTAAATGTAACATACTCTTACCTTGATCTTCGTCGACCTCCACGACTACTTCGATAGGAACCATATGGAGCACTTCGACCTCCACCATTTCGACCGCCATATCTACGAGTACGTGCCCAACTTACACCTACACGAGTTGAACCAATCATTCTGAAATTAAAACATTTCAATTTTAAATTATTCAAAAGCATCGACTTATCTTACTTTCCATCAACCTCTCGAATAGCTTTCTCAGCATCGCTACGATGTTTATAGTTAATAAAAGCAAAACACGGAGGATTTGTTGCCACCCATACCTAATTAATCAAGTGTAGTAATTATTTAAATGAATAGAAAAAGAAACCTCATTAATAGCTCCATATTTTCCGAAAGATCGTTCAATTTCTTTTCTTGAAATTCCTACAGCTAAATCAGATACGTGAATACGATAACCTGAGTCACCATCCCATGCTGCAGCTTGTAAGCCACGTCCACTTTAATAAAAACAAAAATTATTAAATTACTCACAAAATAAATGAAAAGAAAAACAACTTACGAAGAACTTGAAGACATCGAACGTGAACGATCTCGACCCATTATATTAAGAAAATAAAAATATTATAAAGGATTAATCTGTATCAAAAAAGATATATACTTTGTACTACAATAAATGTCGTACACAAGAAAAAACACACGTAAAACTGATCAATGAAACGGAAAGACAAAAAGAAAAAGAAAAAGACAGAATTATAAAATATTTCGTCATTCTGATGCACCTTTTTACATGTATATTGTGCATCAAATGAAAGGATTGGTCTTTCGTTTATTCTCTTTCTTGCATATGTTTGCTATTCCTGTTTTCTTTTTTTCTTACTTATTTTTTTTATTTAGTTGTTTATCTGATTCTTGATAATCGATAATTAAATAAGTAGAATTTAATAAAATAAAATTGTTTCATTAGAATAAATTAATTTTTTTTAAACTTTGAGAATTTTAATGTCTTAGTAGATAATTTATGTAGAATAAAAAAAAAAAGATTTTTTTTCGGAGGTTTAATAATTTGTCAATGGTTACTTTTAACCAATCAAAGTTAAATATAGTCCTGGTGAGGAATTTTTTTACTGAAAAATAATCCTAGCTTAGAGAATTTCTTCATAGATGGCTTTTGAAGAGCTTCCAGATGAAATAATTTTAGAAATATGTCGATTTCTCTCGTCAACTGATGTACTTTATTCATTATTTAATTTAAATTCTCGTTTAAACCGTACTATTTTTATTTATCGTCAACATGTCGTACTTCGTCGAACAAGTTTTATTCAATTTGAATATGTTTGTTTAAATGTTTTACCTACCATAGGTTCAACGATTCGTTCATTATCTATAAATGCAAATTGGACAGATTTATTAGCTAAACGTTTTCTATTTTATTTTGGTCATCGAATGAAAGAAATCTTTCCAAATATTGAACATCTTATTCTCGTAGCTTTTAGTGGAAGTGAATTAAATGATTATATGGAGAGTATTTCAGATCTTCCATATTTAAATAAATTAACAATTCATGATCGATATAATGTAACGGAAGAATATAAGCAAACTTTATTTGATAAAATTCTATCAGCAAATAAAAATCGTTTAAAAAGAATTTTATTTAATCGTCATTCTGAAAGTTTAAGTATTAATGAAATGAATTCAATAATTTATTCAAATATTATTGAACTAAGTATTCATTTAGAAAAAATATATTATCTTCATTGTCTTTTTAAATTAATACCAAATATTCGTCAGATGTATATTGTTATTGATAAACAATTAAATGATGAAATAATTCAATTTGATGAATTAATAATGTATAATTTAATCGAATTTCGTATGGAATCATTTCGTCGATGTTGGATTTTTGATGAAGTTAGTTCATTACTTAAGCAAATGCCTTTTCTTGAATGTCTTTCACTTGATATATTTTCTCAAGATTTTCGTTTATTTGATGGTCAACTATTTCTTTCTATACTTCCGATAGATACTTTGCAATGTTTTAATTATGCTATTGATTATACACCAGACGAAGAAGTTGAAAATGTTGATGATATTGTATCATCATGGGCATCAACACCTTATCCAGTTTGTTGTTTACTTGATGATGGTAAAACTCATATGTTTCTTCATACAATTCCATATGGTTTTTCTTATCTTGATATTAGTTCATTATTTATTAAATATATGAATAAAAAAACGAATGGTTATAGTTATCATGTAAAAGAATTACTTGTATTTAGTGTATCCACATTAGCTGAAACATTTGTTATGATTAATTATTGTAACAAAGTAAAAGATCTTGCTTTAGAAATAAATAATACGTCTTCGAGTAAGTGCTTTATTTATTTATTTATTTGTTATATTTAGAATTGTTTAGTTTTTTTTTTTATTCTATAGTAATAACTGAAGATAAACAAGAAAATAAACTAAATGTATCATTAACTCGTTTGAATCAACTTCATTGGTTTTCCATTGATGGTTGTCCACCTGATGGTCACCTTTTAAAAGAAATATTACTTGTAGCACCTAATTTATGTATGCTTATACTTGATATGAAATTTCTTCTTCAATTGATCGATAAAGAAAGTGATCAATTGTGTATCTCACTATTAAAAAATCGGATAAAACATCTCTCTATTCAAATAACAGATGAAACTGAATTGAACGATAAAAATATAGAAAAATTGTCTAATATATTCATTCTTATTCATCATATTATTGTTGAGAATAAAGCATCTAATGATATGTTCATTGAGAATATAATTCTATTATTTCTTCATCATTTTAAAAAACATCAATTAATCTCAATTATATTTCGTAGTTCAACAACTGAACAATTACGTGATAATCCTTCACAATGGCTTATAGATCATACTTATTTAAAAAATTATATTGATAAATTCAAAGCTGAATGTGACGAACTAGAATTTAGAATTTGGCTTTAAAAAATAACTCCGTTGTTTTTCTTTGTAAATAATTACGTTCACGTTTTGTCAAAAATGTGATACAAACTCAAGTAAAATAACGAGTATACCATTATTTTCTTATTTATTTAATAAATATTAAATGAGAAATATATATATATATATATATATATTTATGCTATTTTTTTTATAGATAAATATTTAATGTCAATAAAAAAAATTAATAATCAAGATATATTTTATAATGTAATTGATATTGGTCTTCGTATGTACGGTAATGGATATCCTTATCCAACACATACTGTTGATTATATTGTTGAATATTGTCGTCAACAACTTCGGCATTATTTTATTGAACATAATCAATTGATAATAACAAATCAAAATAATAATAATAATAATAATAATAATAATCTATTATCATATCTTAGTACACTTGTATATACGTCACGTCATAAAAAATCTCGTCTTAAACGACTTCAACAGTTTGTTCAAGCAAAAGATCGACCAACATTACAACAAGAAGAATTAGTTGAAAATATTGGAAAAGATAAAAAAATGACAATTGCTGATAGATTTGAACGAATATGTCATCAAACACAAATTTGTATTTATGACAACGAAAATAAAGTAAATTAATTATGTTACATATCAAGAAAATCAGCAATGAATAAATGAATAGATTATTCGAGAGGAACTAAGTATGATTATATGAATGACTCTAGTTCAGTAGAAAATGCTCTATAGAGTTGATTGCATTTAAAAGTGAAGACAGTACCCAACAACCGCCGCTGTTAAAACAATTACAATTAAAAAAAAGCGCTTACTATTTATAGATATAATCATCATTGTATCACTCCGAATACAACACTAGTAGGTCATTCAATGATATTGCTCTGTATTGTTATAAATTTCAAATTCCTCTAAGACTTTTATGGTGTTCTTTGTTCTTTTGAAATAGAGTATGAAAAGTAGTTACGCTTATCGTAATTAAAGATCACGCGAGGCTTCGATTATTTTTTTTTCTCACCGAAAAGTGGCAAATCTCGAATTGATACTAACTTTGAAATTTATGCGTCAAAATTATTATAAATTTCAATTCTTTAAAATTGCTACAAATTAATAACAGTCTTACGAATTTAAACTAATTTAAATGTAATTATATGTTATTTTGAGTCGTATTGTTTCCGAAAATAGCTATGAAATCAAAAATCAGAAATTTACTGTCTTGAGGGTGATGCTAAGGTTGATGGTAGCCGTAAGAGTACTTCGTTGTAGTGTAATAAATAGTCAATGCCATCGTAATGAGAAAAACGCTGGTACCATGGAAATAACATTTCTCATTTTTTATCTCTGATAGCAGTTTTCTTGCGATTTGTCTTAACTTATTCTTTTCAAAAATCAGAAATCAGCAACAACAAATTTAGTAAAACTTAGTAACAATTTAAGATTTGACACGATTTCTTTTTGAAGTTTTTCGATGAAGCTTCGACAAAGTATTTCAAACAAGAATATCTCAAAATTTGTCCAGTATTTTTTGACCACTTTCTATTAGAATGTAAAAGAGAATGAATAGTCGAAAGTCATCGAAGGTATTCCTATTCGAATGCTGCGTCCGAATTCCAACGATTTCCGAAGTTTTCTTGATGAAACTGATCTCTACGCTTTCACATAGAATGAATCGTTCATCTTTTTTTTTAGGATTGTAGTTAGTGAATCATATTTAGATGCTTTTAGCGATATAGGTCGTTAAGTAGTAGAGTCTCTTTAGAGCAAGTCACTAAGAACTGTTTATCTCGAATCATTCATCCGATAGCATGCTGACTAAGTTGTGTCATACATCTAAACTCACGTCTATAATATAGTTAGTCAGTGTGCACGAAAAGATTAAGTGATCAAGCGTAAGAACTCTGCTTCAGACCAGTCTTTTGTATAGAGCTACAGCTAATCATAATTGAAGGAGAGATATTGGAGTATTGAATCTACCACACGACAACACTTCATAGCCCTAAGCAACCAAAAGACTGGGGCATTCTTCCTTCTTCGTTTCTCTTTAGACCTAGCAACAGAGGTTGTTAATAAACCAGAGAACATTAATAATCGTCATCGTTATCAAAAATTCAGAAGACACAATTCTCTATTTTGTAGAACTAGAAAAACAGAAATTCTTAAAATTTTAAATACTAAAAAAAAAAGTGTTGCCTTTATTTCGAGATAAATCGACATTGTCTCAAAATCGATTATGTAATAATACAATTATCTGAAAAAGATAATCCTGTCAAAAGAAGTATGTATTTAAAAGTAAAATTATCACATCTTCAAAAATTCGTATATCCTTGTTTTTTAATTTTTGTGGATATTTAATATTCTTATGAAATAATTACAAAAATTGCTTATTTTTATTTCGAATAGTCGACACGACCAATATTAGATCGTCAACGTTCTCGTCAATATGCTCGTCTTGATGTTTATTACAAAAGTGATACATTAACACCAAATGCTTATTTATCATTTGTTGAACAACAACATAGTTCTTTCAATAATCTTCGTTCATTATCATCAATTGATATTGAACATTGGCTTAAATTAAATAATTTAACTTCATCAAAAAAGTTTTCATCAAATCAAGATTTTCGTTTAGCTGAAATTTGTTTATTTCTTATCAAAGAAATTCTTCTTAATCTAATGGATAAAGTTTATCATTCATCAATTCGATGTGATATTCATGATATACTTCGTCGTCAACACGTACATAATAGTCGTCGTTTACCATTTTCAGGACGAAAACGAAAAATTTATTAAAATATGAAATTTAGCTCCAAACTATCCTTTCTGTTTTTTTTTTTCAGATAAAATCTTTTAATGCCAAAAGCAATAGTGGCCTATTCAAGATGCATTTAGTGATATTGGATTAGAATTTGTTCGACAATTATTAAGACGTCAAACACCTACTCATGTTATAGCAACATGTCAACAAACAACCGATGATCGTTTATCTAATTTACAAAAAGAATATTTACGAAATTCTCTTCATCGCTTAGATGTTTTGAAATTAGATGTTTGCCATCAAGATCAATTTGATACGTTTGGCTTACAAGTTGAATATTGTTTAAATGACTTTAAAACATCAATGGGGACTGGATATGCTTATTAATTGTGCACATATATGTAAGAGAAAGCAAGAATAAAAGCTAACATTTTTTTTTCTAATTCTTTGTTTTGTTTTCCTGAAAGGGCATCCATCAAGTCGAGTTGAAACATCATTAAGTGATGTTCTTAGTATAGATTTAAATGAGGTTTATCAATAAAATGTTGTTGGTCCATTATTAGTAACGAAAATTTTGCTTAATGTTTTAAAACGAGGTCATTCATCACTCGGATCGCCATCTTCAAATGCTTCTTATTCATCATTAATTGTTAATATGTCAGCTGAACTTGCATTAATTAATAATAATCAAGTTGGCGGTTGGTATGCCTATCGTCTATCAAAATGTGCATTAAATATGGCAATAAAAAATTTAGCCTTAGAATTTGGACGACAATCAACAGATGAAAATTCAATTTGTGATTTAAAAAAACATGAAAAATCTTTAGTATTTGTTGCAATGTCACCTGGTATTGTTAATACACAAATGATACATGAATATAAAAAATTACTTTCAAAAGATGCGCATTTTTTTAACAAAAAGCTTAATCCGTTGAACGTATGTTAGCTACCATTGATAAATTATCATTAGAAGATAATGAAAAATTCTTAGATTTTAATGGTAAACCAATTCCATATTAATCATACATCTATGAAGGTTTTTGAACATTTTTGTATACTTTTTTAAAATTTTTTTTCAACGAACTGATGGGAATTTTTTACAATTTTCATATCAGCGATAATAATAAGCTTGTATTTTTCTTCTTTTTTTAGATCATAATTTGCTCATTAAATTCTATATTTAGTCTTCAAAGAAAAAAAACATGTCATCTTTGACATAGAACATGCATTAGACTAACCAGAGAAACCTCATAATTCTCTAATCACTTTTTTTTTATAAAATCTAGTGAGTTACAGGTAATCGACCGTGCTGGCTTCGGATATAAATACGAGGCCTGTATTTAGGACTTCAGAGACCCGTTGTCTGAAAAACCAGTTTTTCCTAGCAAAAATATTTTCTCATTAAAGATTTTTCTTTGATCCATCCAAATTATAGAACAGATCGAGTTTATTATAAAGCACTATTTTCTCCGTTTGAGAACCATTGGTGAGGTTATCAGGAGCATAGTTCTTTTTTCGCCTTTTGATTTTTACAGAAAAAAATGTTCATCTTTTTTTTCGCTTACTTTTTCAAAGAATCGGGCATACCCTTTTTTTGATGAAAAAATCTTTTCGTTAAGAAAAACTAGTTTTCCAGAAAATGAGTCTCTGAAGTCTTAGCTGCCAATCTTGTGTTGATAATTAGAAATAGCATAGTCGTGTACCTGTAATCCACTAGATTTAGTGAAAAAAGCAATTAGATAGTTAGGAGCTTTTCTCGTGAATGTTTAAAAATTCCTATTAAAGATTTTTGTTTTTTGGCAAACAAGGAAACTATAAAACATTAAGTTAACTTCTCTATTGATTAGACGAATGTTTATACTCGATAAATTATTATCTTTTAGTATTTGTATCATTCTCAACAATGAAAATTTGACTTTTGTTTTCATACAGAATTTGTTAAAAGCATTATTATGATGATCCTCTTGGTCCAAAAAGTCAGCAGTTTCGGTTACAAAAAAAGAAAAACAAATACCTTTTTCGATTTCAATTCCTAGAAAGTATCTTTGGAATCAGTGATTGAATAATAGTATATCAGATAAATAATAGAATTTTTTTCTAGAAATTTCTGTATTTCATTTTTCGAGATTTTTAGTACATATTACTTTTGAAAAAATAATTCTTTCAAAGCTAAAAATACCAAAAAGAACGAATGAAAGAATGATAACTGTTAATCAGGTGCATAACGTTTTCGTTGATAAAGAATCATATTGAGTTGAAATTTTGTACAAATATTTTAACCTTATATCATGTTCTTAGTGAGAGCTAAAGTAATTTTAGTACATTTATGACATCCATTTCTAGTGTCTATTCCATCTCTAGTGACATTCAGCCAAGTCGACGAAAAAGCTTATTCTTTTTTCTTTATTTTACAAAAGACATTGGGATTTAGTAGTTCTTGTAATAAGTTCTTTTTATTATTATCTTCTTTCGCTAGTCTTGAGACATACATGAAATCAAAAAAATGTTCAATGAAATTCAGAAACGTTTATTGAAAAAGCCAAATTTTCATAAAATTTTGCTGGGAGAAAAATATTTTTTTGTCAAGGTCATTTTTGACAGAAAAAGACTAATAGAGCCTACAGTTCTAACCATGAGCTTTGAGACGAAAAGATATCTTACTCTGAGAGAATACCACTATTTTTCCAAAGCCTTAATAAAATATTTAACTATTTTTGAGTTTTCTTTCCATTCAATCGTAAGAAATAAAGATAATTTCCTGCTGGTGCAATCGTAGATTGAACTCTTCAACTTTAGACTATACAACATTTGAGCAGCTCCCATTTATTAGTAAAAAATGTTCAGTTCCGGTTTGCTTCACGATTTCATTTTTTTTTTTTAGAAACTTTAGGCTCTGATTCGTCCGTATTTATTTTTGATTTCTTAGTTAAAGATTTATCAAAAAAATTCAAATCAAATTTAATGTTTCATTAAATCAAAAAATAAAAAAAAACTTGATTATCTTTTTTCCTAGAAGACTTAATGGACTTGAGTTGTATCTATTTTAGATAGTTATGTCTTTATATTTTTCAAAATTAAAGATGTTACCTGATGAGATGCTATTAGAAATCTGTCGATATCTTCATAGTGGTGATATACTCTATTCATTTTTTGGTCTTAATTCTCGTCTAAACCAAACAATAACTTTTTATTGTCAACATGTTTCACTTCATAAAACATTTTATATGCAGTTTATGCATATATTTAGAATAATCCTTCCTCAAATCGAATCATCTATTCGTTCTTTAGTTATATTTGAATTAGAATCACCATTATTTTTTGAATCATTTAAAAACAATCGTATATATCAAGATTTAGAAAAATTAACATTAGTTAATTGGACTGATGAAAAATTAATTTTATTTGTTGATACATTACATGGAATGAAACATTTTCATAAACTTATTATTCAAGCACTTGATCTAACTGAATCAGTAACAAATATAAATCTTCTTAGAAAAATTCTCGGTGCAAATGATAATCAATTAACACATATTGTTTTCGATCATGAATGTGATGCATTGAATATAACAGATGATGAAAATTGTGAAATAACTTTTCCAAATATAAATCAATTAGATATTGAATTACAAACAACAAAAGATCTTTTAAAACTTGTTCAAATGATTCCTAACGTTGAACAACTTCATCTAACATTTAAACGTCCATGGGTAAAAGTTACAGTTAATCAACAAATATTTTCTTATTTGACAGAATTAAATGTTTATGCTATGAGTTGGTTTTCGACATTCGATGATCTAACAACATTGATTCAAATTTCGCCTACTATTGAAAATTTCTCGTTTGTACTTGTTACTCGTGATTATTCTATGATTGATGGACAACGTGTACTTTCAATTCTTTCTCCTTGTATAAAACAATTTAGTTATAGTATTTGTTATCATTCATCTGACAAAGATGATAAGTTTGATCCAATTAGTATTATTAAATCATGGAGATCTATTCCCATTGCATATTCAATAAGTGAAAATGATAAACGTATTTTTTTACATACCATTTCGTATCAATTAAATCGTCTCTCACTTCGTTCTTTATTTAATAAAAAAATGTCAGCTGATGTAAATAGTCAAATTTATAGCAAAGTTCGTCATTTGCATGTTTATGATACAGTTGCTTTAAAAGAAATTGCTGGTATTGTACGACATTGTCGACAAATTCTTGATCTAATCGTTTCTATTCGAACATTACCATCAAGTAAAATTTTTATCTGGATTTATTTTATTTTTGTATATCGTTAATTAAATTTTTTTTTGTCATTAGGAAATCAAGATCTTCAAAGTAAATCAATTGAACTTCCTTATCTTGGTCGACTTGATTTTCTTTCTATTCAAGGCATTCCACCTGATTCATATTATATAGAAAAAATTTTATTAGTTTCACCTAATCTTTCTGCAATTTCTATTGATTTTGATTGTTTATATAAATTACTTAACGATGATGATCAATCACTTTTTCTATTTTGTCTTCTTCATCAACGTATCGTTATTTTATGTATTCGATTTGAAGAGACGTCTATTGAAAAATTAACTGATGAACATATTCATTGTATCGCACGAATATTTTTTCGAGTAAATCATATGTGTATTGATTTACGAAATTCAAATTTAAAAATTGAATCTCATACGATATCATTAATTTTGAATTATTTTCCAAAATTAATGGTTCTTAGTATGTATGGTCAATTATCAGAAAATATTAATTCAAATAAAGACATTTTATGTCAATATCTTGTTGAACAATCAACAGGACGATTGACAAATGCAGATAGATTTAAAATTGATTATGGAAATGAAAGATTAAAAGTATGGATGTAATAGGAATTGTAATTAGTTTTCTTTTTTTTTTTTATGTTTGTTTTTTCGTTTTTGAAAAATGTATTAGTTTAAACAAAAGTATTTTTCTTTTATATTTTAGATTTTTCACATTAAATAAATCAATTATACAGCGTGAAATTGTTTAAGACTTTTGAATTTTTCATCATGTCAGATTCAAAAGTTGAAGGTAGTGCTACACTATCTCAAAAACCAGTACCTAAAATTAAAGATATTTCAATGATGAAAGCATGGAAAGATTCGAAAGTAAGTGTTGATACACTATTTATCATGAGGCAATTTCCTCATGTGTAGAATTCCTTTTCATTTGAGACTCTTGCTATTCGATCAATCGTTATAAGTAGTGAAAAATTTGTTTTCGTTTGATTTTTCGATCTTCTCTCTCGAGTTATGAGCATTTTATTCAGCGATGCAAAGTTTTGATGTAAATACGAAACAATGAGTCATCGATATAAGATTTACTGAGAACACTAATTACACTAACATCGATATTCACTGCAATATAAAGACATCAACTCTATCCAGATATGCTCTTTTGTGTAGCGGTGTTTTTCAATGCTTCGGTGGATATTAGTGCCAATGTGTCTGTATGCACTAACTACACTGACAAGAGAATCTCTTCAAATGTTAAATTATTTTTCGACTAAGATGATGTTTATTTGATTCGTACTAGTGAGTGGTAGAAAAGTCTAGAATCGTTTGACTTTCGTTCTCGAGATATTGAAGTTTTATTGTTTTTTTTTCAACAAAAAGCTGTGGTCTTCTTAGATCAAGTGGAAAATCAACTTTCCAAATTCGACTTCAAACTTTGTAGGAACAAAGTTCTTAATGAAATTAGTTGATTGTACAATTAGTATTTCCTTTCTGAAGATCAAAATATATGAACAAGATTTGTTTTTACATATAAGAGAATTTCGAATATTTGAATATCCCAGGATAGGAGATGGTAGAAAAGTTCAAATTTGTTCATGAAAAAGTCTGATTAAAAAGCTGTGTTCATGCAAAATTTGAAGTCGAAACTCGTAAGTTGATTTTCCGCGCAACCTGAGAAAAC